AGCGAAGACCCAGAGCATATTCAGAAAAGCGCGCTTTCCGTAATTTGAATTTCTCCTGGCCTTTCATATCACGTCATTTTAGAATTGTATAATATCAGATCTTTGAAAGGCAGGCGCAAAGAACAATCAACTCTTTGACTCAGTCGTATCTGGATACTGCGCATAAACTCCATCATTTGCTGCCACCCAATAACATAAGCAGACACAATTTTAGAAACCAACGCAATTTTATGTTGCTAAAAATGGACACAAATCGTTACACGAACACATTTAATCCATCCATGTCCAATCGGTAAAACTTTAATATGTAGTTGTTTTTATAATCATTTTATATTAAATGAAAATGTCATTTTATAAATGTGTACATTAATATTATTATAACTTTTTATGAAATTCATGCAATGTAGCCTCAGGATCTTTACTCTTTTACGTCATTTACGTCACGCACCGCACTAACATTAGAATATGACATATGCATATTCTTGAACACTCACTCCGCCGTTGTTGTCCTCAAACGTGAATCAGCACATTGAAATTGCCTGGGACTGTCGAGGTGAACCCTAAAAGGAAGGTAAGTTGCAATTTGTTTTAGAAAGGTGATGTCAGCAAAACTAACCTCGCTTCTTTTAATTACAGTGTATTGAGAGGCAATGAACAGTGACCATTCAGTATCTGATTTGTGCCTTTCTTACGTTCATCATTTTCATAATTATTACTCAACGAGTTGTAGAGCGACATCGCTAATTCGCTAAATTCGATTATTTTTTCATACAGGAAATCTCAGAGCGAGGAAGTTTCCAATCAGAGCGCTTCAAAAGGAAATATAAACCTTAGCTGTAATCGAATACGCCACGATAGTTCTACTGTTCCTACGTTGATTCGTTCGAAAGGACCGATAAAGAAAGAAATATTCCTCCACGAGGTGTTTAAACAGTTCTTATCTCAGCTTTTGCAATGAGTTACCCACCTCAACCACCGCCGTACAATCCAACAGCTCCTCAGCCGAACGCTGGAGTTGGTTTCGAACAATATCAACAAGGAACTCCATATCCTCCGCCGCCATATTCAGCACCATATCCTCAACAACAGTATGGCGGGCCTCCTCCACAGCCAGGCTATCCTCCGCAGCAGGGCTTTCAACAGCCTTATGGTCAGCCACAGTATGTCTACACAAACCAGCCTAAAACTGTTTACGTTTATGATCAAAATGGGAGACGTAGACAAGACAACAGTGATGCTGCGGACTGCTTTCTGTTAGGGCTATGTGCTGCATGTCTGTGCTGTTGTGTTCTCGACTAATTACAGTGACATTTGAACGTGTTTATGTACGTTACATATTAGGTTTTCTATCTGTTAGCTCTAACTTGCTTCGAGAAAGCCTGTGGGTAGTTTCATAAATTCAGAAAAGAACAGAACTTGTGATATAAAATTGTGTATGTACGTGTGTGCGTGTAAGTAATATTATATTCTCAGAATTCTAAATATTGCATAATTATAGATCTGAAGTTTATCATGTTGCCAGTTTCCAATGCAAATGTAATGTGATGTAGTAGCAGGTTGTGATTCCATATATGGCAGAACAGATAAATCTTTTAAAATACAACGATAAACGAAAAAATATAGTGTAAATGTGTGACAAAGTTTCCTAAGAAGCTGAATTAGAGGGAAATTGGGGAAGAAAACGTTTCTAATTTTTTTCTAAGGATTCTTACGAATTTTCATAATCATTGATTCAAACCATAAAAGTATATTGTAAGCCATTTTGTCTAAAATTAATTTTAGATTAAGATTGCAGTGTGCAGATATGCTTAGTGTTCAAAATTTAGAATATTAAAGTACAACTTTGCTCAACATAAAAACAAATTGCACCATGCAGGTGTGAAAACAAAGAGTTTTTCAATCAAAACCTGCATATTGAGCTTTTATGGAGTAGAGAGCTCCTGAAAGGTTTTGTTCGAAATAGAGAATTTTTCACTCCTTTAAATATCTGCTCATAGATCATGAATTAGTCAATAAAAACTCTTTCAGAAAATTTAACCTTCTTTGGTTAAACCAACCATCTTTGTTTGGTTTGTATCAGATACTTTCATTTTTAAAGAGCAGCTTACAGGTTGTTGATTAAAAGTGCAATGATAATTCATCATCATGATTGTATTTACAAGTGTGTGCAGCTTATTCATGTCTCTGATGGTTGTCCTGTGTATAGGGACTGAAGGGAGGAGTGGGTGAGGAGGGGTTAAACCATGTTGCACCCAGGCTGTTCTCTACTTTGAGTGGCATTTTGTTGGATGAACACCTCGTGATGCATGCTGTGTAGATTCTTTGCATTTTTACTGCCTGAACTATCGAATTTGTTTGTTCACTAACACAAGAGCACTAATCACCAAGAGGAAGCCTCAGGCACCTACAGAGTTCTGTCCTTTCAATTATCAGAAGCAATACTCACATTTATTTAATGTGATATAGATCCTTATTTTAATGAAATCCAGGATCTATACAAGTCAGTAACTGTTAATGCAGAAAGCATCCACATCTCTCATAGTATCACACATGGACTGATTAACTGAGAATTTTTAAAAGGTGTTAATTACCTCATGTAAACTTGATCAAGACAGCCACAAGAAAAATTTGATTTAATAGCATATGTACCAGAAAGTCCAGCACAATCTGACCCTTAGTTCCTGCTGGCCAAATCAAGGAAATATATTGAAATATTATATTCGCAAATGGACTTGCCACTCAGCAAATTTCCTAAACACTTCATTTTGATCAGATAGAGATGTGATTTGGAAATGAAACTGGCTGTCCAAGATTCACAACTTCGGATGATTTCCAAAAAAGAAACTAGAAAAAACTGGCCATTATATGAGAATCTTCAGGGGCAATCTCACCTCTAGAAATGGACATGGAGTCAAAGATCATGTCTTGATCAAGCAGTGGTAGATCCAGGAAGTTTTGATAGTGGAGTCAAAATTTGATAAAGAAAACTCAGAATAATTATTTTTACACAAATGCTTCAAGGTAAGCTGAGAAATATTGCAAGGAATTTTTTTTAACGCAAAAAGAATTTTGGTGTCAGGCAACTAATGAAACTAAAACCAACAGATCTGATGGGTTGGGGGTGGAGGGTTTGGACCTTGCAGACCTTCCCCCTGAATGTGCCATGCACTGTCAAGGATGAAACTGTTTTAGAGAGTTAACTCTTTAACTCCCACAGGTGATTCACATATAACTTCTCCCAACAGCATCCATCCATTATCCAGCAGACAGGTAATAAGAGTACTCAAATGTATCAGATAGAAGTTATTATCTTGACCTAACACCAAATTCTTGCAACTAATTTACAAGGAAATGTGTAGAAGCAAGAGGGGAGAATAAACAATCAGATCCTGTGAGTTAAAGGGTTAAGCCATTTAAGGCAGATACAAGCAGCCTTGACTGGAACTCAGTAATTCTCAGTTGCACAGATTTCTTTCTTTATCATTTTATAGTCATGGTAGACCTGGTAGACAAGGAAATTTGCTCTCCATAGATTTTCCTCGGCTAATGATGCTCAAATTTAATAACAATAATAATAAAGATAATAATAATAATAATAATAATAATAATAATTATATGAAAAGCTTTTGAATGTTTTGGCCAGGCAAAGAGCCCGAACAATCAGTTCGCGATAAGTTTTTTCTGCCTTCTCCATTAGCTCAAAGAGATATGGGTCATTGACATGGAGGAAGGCGAGTAGTGGACGACGATTGCGTGAGTGGATCTCATAACGCCCACTTTGTATTGATATTGTAATTACCTTGAGTACAATGAACAAAAAGTGTACTTGTACTTTTTAGTAAAGAAGGATTTCCTTTTAAGAGTGAGTAAGGCAGCTGCTATGGGGTGTGAATCACGCCTACGCAAGCTCGAACAAATTGTAAATGGCTGTAGAGGAAGTGACTGGAGTGCTTTGGAAGGTTTTCAATGTTCTGTCATAGGAACTCATTAATTTTGTTTAAAATTATTTGATCCGGTTGCCGTTCCTTCTATTTTATCTTTTGTTTTTTTTTTCCTCAATTATATCCACTCTAATAACATTCTTCCGAGGTAAAATCAGATGACTTGGAGCTTTTTCACATTAAATGCTGGTAAATTATTCCTTTATTTGCAGAGATGCTTTTTCAGTAGTTTCGAAACTAATATTTTTCTCTAAAAATGAAAGGCTAAGTTTCGAAATATCAGCAATCGAGGAGAATCCGTGAAATTCCACTCCTGACGACGGCATATTTTCTGCGCGACTGTTGTTACTTACTTGGTAACGCAACTTTTTCTGTCACGCGAGAGATTAGAAAATTCTTCTTAGAGGAAATTCGATAACAGCGAAAGAAACTTCAGCTTCTTTCCACATATTTTCTTTTTCATTCTGACAAACTTAAGTTTGTTGAAATCTTATACTACCGGAATCGCATTCAAATTGTACGCTATTATTTAATTCGTCTGTCAGTAAACTTCGACTGTCAGTTTCGCGCGAAAGTGTAGCTTAAAATATCACCAGTAACAGATCACACCAAAACATGAATGGAAAATGTTTTTAGAAGATAATCGAGCTATTAGTGAAGAATCAGGACATCTCTTATTTAATGCGGTTCGAACCGGATGTGTGTTATAAATAAACTCACCGGATGTAAAATATGTAGGGTATTTATCGGTATTATAAATTGGTAATGTAGTGACATAAATTATATTCGTTGCTACACAAAAGGATGATGAAGCTACATATCGTCAACGAAAAAGAACTTTCTAAAACGGAACAGGAAAAAATTGAGGCTTTGTTCCGGTGGAGCACTTAAAAATTTTGCTTTGAAGTTCTAAAAATATTGTAACAAACACAAGAGCCAGTGGAGAATACGATCTCGAACAATACGCAAAGGAATGTCGCACGATCTCTGCGTGCGCATACCGCTCAGATCCTCAACTTAGTATGGTTGTCTGTTCTTTCAGCCAGTAAATCCCTCAAAATGGACCTGATTGAGGGTAGAGTTCGGTATCGGAAAGGAAAAAAGGTAAGCTGTAAATCTTGAATAATGCTTTGTGCATTTCAGTACTCATTCATATTCTGTTTGTTGCAGTGGAAGATTCGATGGGCTGTTTTGAGACGGGTGAATCCAGCGACTGGTAAGTTGTGCACGTTTTTAACTCAAATAATTTACACAATGATTTTCGTCGCAAACACAAATTTTAATAATTGGGTTCTATAGTGCAGCTGGTGGTGTCGCGGCCTGATTTCTTTGTAAGGCAAAACGGCTGTTGTTTGATGGGTTTCGTCGAGAGTGTTGCATAAATAATTTGAGAATCGGAGAACATTATTTATCTCTGCGGTGCGGTCCGTTCAATGATTCTTCGTAAACGCAGCGGTGAGATATCGTCAATTGAACAATTTAAGAGCATTTTCGACTGTCTGAGGTTGAGTTACTGATAATGCGACAGCGACACTGGTCAAGGACTCCCCTTGCTTTTAGTAAGACTAGTTCTCATTTATACTTCGAATTTTTTCTTATATTCTGTGACCTTCTTCGGCGTCTATTTGTGAAGCTCTCAATGTCCGCGGGCGAGACAAATTTGCGTGGAATTATCGCTCTAAGTGAGCCAACTAGACTTTTAATGGGAAAGGTAACTGCATACATAATAATTCTCGTGAAACTTTTGTATTATTTTGTATCTCGGAATGCCGTTGTTTCAATGATCGCGTGTCCGTTGTATACATTGCAATTTTGCTGCTTCACTCGCGCTTGATAGAACATTGAAATCTGCAAGCTGTTGCCGCATGCTGTCAGCGTTTTTTTTTTTTTTTGGAAAAATTTTGCCACATCTCGCCCTTTTTAAAAAGAATCTTTGAGCTTTGAACGCAGTTGTAGGCGTCTGATCTCTTTTTCCGCTTCCAAACATTTGATTTGCCTACCCTGTATCAATTAACCGCCCAACGGCAAGTTACGTCGAAATCGCTCAGTATAAAGTGGTAAAAGTCGTTGAAAATTTGTTCGCTTCTATTATTTATCACACTTATGGGCTAATTCATTCATTGTAGATCACCAAAGCTATTATCTCACTCGTCACTAGTTTTAGAATTAATTCAATGGAGTACTCAGCAGTTTGCTGAGAGACAATCGCAATATTTATACGAGCTAGGCTTTACGACAGCGCTTTCCATTTCCTATGTTGTTCTTTTAATATTGTCGCTGAATTTGCTCAGTTGCGTGATAAAGCGAAATTTGGTGGCCATCTATTCGCTTCAATAATTACTTTGCGTTGTAATATCCTTCCGCTGTTTAAAACGTACTTGTCTATCAGTCTCTAGTCAACGTAAATAGCAGGGTTTTTTTTAAGGAAGAAACATATCCCGGTGATAAAAATTTCTGCCTAAAATAACCATGATACATTCACTATTTTTCGCTTTTCGCCTGCGTTTACTTTCGCCCACGTCGTGATTGAAAATATAAGATTTATAGAAAATAAAGCTGAACCCGCAGAACCTTTTTCTTCTGGTTTAATTCTTTCATGAAGGCTTTTTCTCAATGAGGGATACACACGACTTAATTATACTTAGTCTCATGCATACATGAATTTTATTATATTTCTTTGTACACTGGTAATAACATCACATTAATATAATATCTTCTTCAATATTCTTTCTTTCTTAATTTCGTCATTGCGACTTGAGAAACTATGATTGATGTTGTTGATAGAAGTCCAAATTGATTTTTGATCATGTGAGCATAAAACGATACCGTATTCAACTGTGACCGAACCATAACAACATCGGCTTCAATACATTGTTTGTTGAAAGGCTTTGTAAATGGAGGGTCTTGTCGACCAAATACAGCTGCAAACACATGTTTTGTTTGAAAACTTGGTAATTATTATCACTCTACATGACTCCTGGATTTAAACATGTGTTAAAAAAAAGTTGTGTTCCTGAAATTGTGAAATTATAAGTAATGTGGTATAGCTGTAGCCCTTAATGAGGATAACTGATCTGAAATTACCAGTTAAGGCATAACTTTCTGGCCAAACCACAAAGCATAATGACCTTTACTTAGAAAAAAACGACATTGGTTTTCTCTCTGTGTGTAACATGTTTGTTGTTTATTTTTGTGGATTTTTCTCTTCTTTACACATAATACACTCATCTTGATTCAGCTGTGTTTGTTTGTCATTTAAGATGAGGCTTTATTTTTCTTTGAGCCCATTCGTTTTCTTTGTAATTTCTAAGAACTTTCCAATTAAAGTGAATTTTTAATAGACAGGTGTTTACATTGGCTTTTTATAACAGAATGATATGGCATGTTTTGGTGACTTACATTTTTTAATCTCAAATATTTTGTATATAATAACTGATATTTTGGCAACAAGTGATGATTTTTTTCTTTGTAGTGTCACAGCTTACAAGAAAATTGTATAAAAAAAGTGTAAGAAATTTTAGGCTTTGACAGGGATTGCAGGCTTACCTACTTGGGTGTTGCAGCCTAGTGAGCTACAAAGCCAGAAGTTGGGAGGGAACAAGAATCTGTTCTCTTGAAAGAAAATTGAACACAATTAGGGTGTATGAAGTAACATGTATTTTTACCTGTGATCAAGATAACAAGTGACAAATTTAGCTTCACAGGCTAACTGCATTTTATGTCGTTGAAGCTATCAAGTCATTGTATCTGTGTCATTCTCACTGATAAAGGCTTTTACATTCTCTGAATTGATTTTTTTCCTTCCCTTGTAGATGTGTTGAATCTTGTGCTGTATCCTGATCGTCATTCAGATCAGACAAATGCAGGAGCTCGTCATAAGGCCCTGCTTTCCCTTAAGGGGTTTAGTGGATTACAGGTGCTCAACAAGATGGACAAACACTTCAATGTGATCGTCATTATAACAACAGAAGAGGTGATTCCTCTAAGCTTTGAGACAATAGACCAAAGAGCAGACTGGCTGGCACTGCTTCAAGGTCATTTTGGGAAAGGTGAGTTAAAAAAAAAGAAAGAAAAATGTATATCAAAGATCGCACCCGCAACTGGCTGCCATCCAAAACAAAAAGAAATAATCTGTATTTTTATAACCCTTGGCATGCCCTTAGACACGAAACAAAAACTATGTTATTGAACATAAATGCCTCTTTAATTTTCCTTAAATCTGTTGTGTCTCTTCTAGGAGATCCTAACTTCTTTTAAATTGAAAATGCATTGAAAAGTCAGCCCCTAGAACATTCTAAATTGCAATAATTTGCATGTTTTTTTTTTGTTGTGAACTATTTATAGCACAGTTCTCGAGTAGATGACAGGATTTAACTTGATATATGTAACAATTCTTAAGTTTCTCATCAAAGAAGGTGTAAAAGTTGCCTGTTGATGATAAGCGTTTTGACCTTTTGACCCCTAAGAGTGACTGGCATCTAATTTCTCCCTAAAATTTCACCCCTGAATCAAACATTCAGGTCATGAGAATCAAGGAAATGATCACCAACCAGAGAAGCTCTTGATTCATAAACAAGTTCTCCTTATCAGCAACATAGGAAACATGTTAAAAACAGTATGGAGAATATGCATACTGATCTTGGAGTGTAAAGAGTTAACCTGCCACATTCTTATGTAGATACTGTTATGTAAGAGGATCATAGCTAATTTAGAAGTCATAATGAAGAATTCAGTTGAAAATTGTTTAGGTTAAGAATATTACAGCTTTGATTTGTGATTAATATGTATCCAATTTGAATTTGAATGGAACACAACAGGACTCAAAAGACAGATGGTGTATTTGAAGAACCATTTGATATTTCCTTTTGAAAGAAATTTGACTCTTATATTTTGTAAACAATGAACAGCCACAGACTGAATACCAGTAAAAAAAGTAAAACAACATATAATGCTTATGAAAATATAAAAATTTGGAGAACAAGCCATCACCAGTTTTACTGTTTAAGAATTTTGAGAAGTTTGAATCTTGTATTTTAATACCAATAGATCATAGTGAGGGAAAAATTTCAAGGTGAACAAGATTGATTTCTGCACTAGATCAGGTTAAATTTAATTAATTTGACAACGATCACATACTTTAGTGTCATTTAAAGAAAGATAATTCTGAAGAATGTACCCAGATTGACCTTAAACTAACTTATTTAACATTTTTAGAAGATTGCTATACCTAAATATAAGACAGGTTATTTGATACAAGATGTTAAGTATATTGATATAAAATTATGTGACATAAATGTAGACATTGTGAGAACCTGACTGTGGTGATATCGCTTGTAAGGCAAGGTAATGAATTAAAAAGCCAAAAAAAAAATTCAGGCTCTAATGGGATTCAAACCAGTGCCTCAAACCAGTGCCTGAAACCCATGCCTCTTAGATACTAGTTCAAAGGCACACATTGGGGGCTAGGTCAATTAACCCTTTAACTCTCAAGATTTCATTAGTAATTCTCTTTACTGTCCGTCTCACAATTCTTTTAATGCTAGTTTGGAGAATTTGGAATTGGATCAACCAATAATCCCTTAATTGATATTTTTCTTTATTCTCATTACTTGTCTGCTTGATATCATACTGATAGTGTATGGAGAAATTCTGCCTAGATCACTTATGGGACTTAAAGAGTTAAAAAATTCTCTTACAAATAAATGAGGAAGTGTTAACATGGAAACTTAATGGTCTGATCTGATTGATCAGATCTTTTGACATTCCTTTATGTGCAAAATTTTATTACAAGGTAGTGTCAGAATGCTGAAATAATCAGATTTTTTTGTGAAGCCTTTCACCTCTAGGGTCTCAATTTAAGGTGTCTTCGTAGTGTTCCTTTGGGCTGTGACAATTTGGAAGTAAATCAAACAGTATTGCCCACTTTGTATTTGTCTTTATTGTCATTGCCTTGTTTGTGGAAAATATATTGACATTGGGAGGAGAGGTTATTTTTTTGTCACTCATGCACTCATGGAACTAAAAGTTCCAATGAAAATGCATATTAATAGAACTGATTTCTAAGACTGATAACAGTTGGAGCAATTCAGATGCTGGTGTCTGAAGTTGGAAGTTAATTGTACCATTTGTGTTGTTTCATCCTCAGAAAAATCCTTTGAGGGTATTGTGCCTCACAAGCAGAAGATCAAAGCTGGAGAAGCTCACCTGCGCTTTTATGCCACTTTCTTCTCTCTCACCAAGAAGGACAGCTATCGTCTCATTGGTCACTGGAAGTTTACAGCGTTACCCAAGTATGGTGCTGTGGAAGCAGGTTTTGCCTTCCAGGCTAGCCAGGAGTCCCAATCAGGGGATAAACTTATGACTTATTTCTTTGCCACTCGAGCTGGAAAGGAGATACATTCGTTATTTGACAGTGTGTGCAGAGCAGGAGAGGTGGTTCCAGGTCAAGAATGTCTATCAGGTATGCTGTTAAGCATAAGCTTTTTTTTGTATGATAAACTGAATGATACATGCAATTTGCTTGGTTCCTACTTATGATCTATTGGAAGACAGACACATAGGCGATGTCACCATGAACAATATTTTGCTTTTTCTATCATACATAATAAAGAGATTTCCTTGTTGCCATGGCTCTGTACAGTAATAGATTATAGAGGATGTCAAAATGTGGTGAGGATATCAGTGACACACTAACCTGCGCTTCATGTGTCACTTTTGTGTTTTTACAGAGCCATGGTAACAGTAGTAAGGCATATATGGTTTTAGCTGTAAGACACAGTGCTTGTGCTCTAAATGAGCAGAGAACTAAATATGAGGGCCCATAAATCGATTTTGGTTAATATAGATTATTTACCTTGTTGTTTTGGTGTTCTACAGATATCAATTTATAGTACTCAAAGAATTGTCTCCCTTGAAAATGTTTAAGTTCGTGCTTCCTTGTATTTTGGGGTTTCAGTTAAAGAAACCATCCAATTAGAATTCTGATTTTTTCCCCTAGAATCAACAACAAAACAGACTTTTACTAAGATTTTCGCGTTTGAATTCGCGAAGAACACAATGTTGTTTATTATCTCCAGCAGTTTTTTCCATCATGAGAATCAATACAATCGTGATATCTGAAATTACTGTCAAACGAACTTGTAGGCCAAAATGTTTAGCTCGGGAAAGTACTCACTTGATTCTGTTCCTTCAGTAAGGTCTTTCCGACAAAAAGAGGTCCGGGCGCATTGTTTCGTTTTTTGTTACCTCTATTTCAAGACGAGACTCTTTTGAAAGAGCGGGGCATATTTTTTGCTAAGTTTGTTCGGGTTGTTTCTGAAAATCGAGAGAGTGAAAATAAGCTATTTAAAGGTTAAGAAATTCTTTTCTGATTCTCTTTTTCAGACTCAAGTCAGCCTGGCACCAGCGAGGAAGACGACAGGCGACCAGGGTTTCTCAGGCGCGCCTGGCTTCGAATGAGCGGCAAGCGGTCGCATAAAGGGAAAGCACCCAGACCAAGGAGCATGAGCATGCCATCCTCAAGCCAGGGAAGAAAAGCAAGGCTGAAAGTACCGAGCAGAGATCTCCAATAGAGGCAGAAAAGTATTTGGTACGGAGAAATGAGTCTGTACCCTCGAACATAGGAGCTGGTCGAGATCACGCCGATAGTTTTAATGAAGTATTTTTGAATGGCGAAAAAAATGCTGCAGTCTCTCCCAAAAACCCACCCCCCGGTTACAAGAATATACCCGGGGTTACACCCGAGGGATATGAAGTAATGGAACCGGCGGATGACGAGGCCTTGACAGGTACCCCGCGCAAGAAATCACAGGGGAAACGTCAGAGTGGACCGGAAAACGATAAAATTGATGGCGTGGAAGGATACGTCGAAGTAGAAGGAAGAGATGAAGAACTACTTGAAAAATAAGGACAAACTCATATGCAAAGGAAAAACGCGGAGACTCTGTCGAGAGAACTTCCCGCGGGTCAGAGGGTGGGAAGAAGAAGTCCTCTGCTTCAGAGAAACGACAAAGCGATCAAGTTGCAAACATTGTTATTAAAGAGGAGCAGGAGGAAGAGGATGTGAGGAAAAAATCCGAAATTGAAAATCAACGAGCGTCGAAAGGAGGAGGGCAGTGTCAAATAATTGTCACTCCTTGTACTGAAACCGACGAAGAAAAACTTGAAAATGGAAGAGAAGAGATGACGAATAATGACGACGTGTTTCTTCCAGAGGGAACTAAAACTGTACGTGACACAAGTGATAATGCTGATAAAAATCCTGACTACGTGAATGGTGACATTACACTTAACAATGCAAGTGTGAAAGCGGTCGGAAAACATGTGAATGGAACCTCCGGTAGTGTGTCTACGCGTCGCGGTATGAAGAACCCGCCAAGCCTTTCTCTTCAGCCAACCTCAACTGCTGGCAGTGCTGAGCACCTTTACGTGAATTCGCCGAAAGTCGTCGATTATGTTAATGTCAAAGGTGCCCGTGCAAGCCCTGGCGTGAGATCCCGCGCGAAAACGGGCGTAGCAAAGACTGGTACGAGCAGTAAATCAAAATTGAACCCGTACGAAATATATGATGGCAACGATGATTCGATTTACCACAGTGTGGAATCGCTAATGCCTTCACATCCGGGCTATCGGAATGTCATGAATAACGATCCCTCGCGAAGTCACAGTTTTGAAAACATCGCCGGTCATTCGTACGCAAACGTGATGGGTGGGCTTCCCTCCTATAAAAACATGGGGCATATGGATCGAATGTACGTGAATGTCGTTTCACAGCAGAATCAGGGCAATTTAAACTATATAAAACTGGACGGTGTAGATTCGTTTCAAGGGGCCAGTCCTTTTTGCGAGTACGTCGCCAAAATCGGCCAAGCCGTCGAGCGATTATACTTGGATCGACGAGCGAAAACTAAACTTTGGCGGACACAGCGAAATTGCACTCTGAAAGAAGGCAGGAGAATCTGCCGCGGGTCATGAAGAAATAAGTTTGTAAATAGTTCTTACGAAAAAAAGGTTCCAGCTCCCCGCATGGCTTGAGAAGACGTGGGAAAACGCGCGCGAAAATGTACACGCAATACTTAGGTGGGAAGCGGGACGCACGCGAGAATCGTCTCTCCCAAAATCGTTATTCCCCAGGCGGGGGTGGGGGGTTGGGGGATTGCCCGTGTCCGTCTGATTGGCTTCCCCACACAGCGTCCTATGGAAGGTGGCTAGTAAGTTTTTGAGATTATTTTTATGTAGAGACAAAACATTAAATTCTCGAAACTAACATTAGGAACTATGAAGTAAATAATTAGAGAAATAAACTCATCGGTTTTTATCTAGGAAATTATTATCATCGGATCAATGATTAAGGAATTTTTTTACCTAACAGTTGTGAAAGTTCTTGTTTTTCCGCCTCAAAGGTCAATCAGCTGTGAAAAAAAACTTATGGGTCACCCAGATGTAGTATTGCTTTATTATGGCCCAGTAACGATTTTTATATGGGTTGTTAATTTTACATTCAATCCCAGAGCTCCAACAAAGAATGATTGTAACTTTGCATGCATTCAGCTCCTAGGTTACACTGATTGAACATGGGAACATTCTTTTGTAGTAAAAAAAAAGAAAGGAAAGAAAGACGAACAACTGAGTTTTATTAAAGATGTTGCAGATTTTGCGATGTGTCTGTTGCCAACTACAATTCAGTGTGAGGTGCAAGATCAAAACACGATCAACCTTACCAGGAATGTACCCCCAATTTTTTTTTTGGTTGTCCGGCCCCCAACCAATAGCTTACTCCTTCATCCTTGATAATGATTCAGGCCTAAAAGGGCAGACGGGTTGGGAATTGAGGTTACTTGGACCCCTAAGAGTGACTGGCATCTAACTTCTCCTTACAACATCACCTCTGAATCACACATTAAGGTCATGAGAAGAAAGGAAGTGATCACCATATAAAGAAACTCTTGATTGTTAAACAAATTCTCCTTATTAGCATCGTTAGAAATGTAAGGAGAACGGTATGGAGAATATGCAGACTGATGTTAGGATGTAAAGGTAAGGTTACTATGCACAAAACGAGGTGCCTTCTAGCAGAAAAAAAATCGTCCTTTGCGCGCTACTTAAACAGAAACCATGGAAAACTATGTATCACTGTAACGCTAGTAAAGTACAGATCCTGAAAATAACAAATGGTCAAGTTTTGTCCGCAACGCACAAGTCTTAAACACAAAACTGAAGATTTGCTTTAAAAGAATTGCAAATTGCAATAACACAAACTGGACTGTGCCACTCAGTAAATAACAGGCCAACAAAGGGAATGAGGTTTTTTTCGATATTCGTACTGGTTCTAGATTGAAGTTGGACGGTAGAGAAAATTTTGCAGAGAGGACAGTTTTTAAAGGAGCATTGGGAACTCGTGGCATTGAAAGCTTGAGTTATTTTGTACCTTGGTCTGAATGACAGTGACTTAAGGACGTTTGAGTGCACGATGCATAATGAGTAGTTTTGTCCTGGACACGTGCACTAGTCTTGAGATGGGAAAACCTCGTGAAAAGATTTGGTGTAATTTGGGGTTTCGCTTTCGGTTCTGTCGATAGTTTTAGTCTTATTTGCCTCAATTGTATGTGGAATTCAATGAATGGTTTGGCTTGAACATCAACTCTCAAAAATTAACATCAATTAGACCTGCATGTAGTTGCAAAACACGGAAATTGGATCGTCACGCCAACTGTCTCTACGACAAGAAGCATTCATACGATGTTTTAGGAAAAGCTGTAGCTCCAAGCCACATCAACGTGAAAAAAAACTCTAAAAATACAAATTTATTACACCAAAATATAATTACTACAACTAAACTCCACAGTGCATGCAATATTTGTTTCTGTTCTGCCCCCACACTTTTTTTTTTTTTCTCACACCAAAACCAAACGATTTGTCAAGTTACATGTTCCACTTTATCCATAGCAAAAAATATTCATCTCACTTACAATGAAAGATTTGACATGAGCTTAAAACTTGACCATCACAAGGTAAATGTATATCTCAAAAATACTCAAATGAGTAAGTAAAGTGTAAACTTGGCAGGTAGATGTGATTATGAAGCTTATGAATGGGTATGCTACCACAATTCAGACCATCTTAATCAACACAAAACAGTTAACACTGGTACATCTGTGACTAAACCTTGGGGGAAATTATGCAATTTAGGAACAAGTATATCATTACTGAACACAGCAAGCATGGTCTAAGGTGGCCATAAAAAATATCCAACCCGTTCAAACGTAGGGCAATACAAATACTAAAGTGTTAACACCAGCATTTCCTTCCACTAAGAAATGAAAATACCATTTACCTATCTATAAATTAATTGCGCTGAAAGTAAGCATTATGCAACTTAAGCATGTTTACATGCATGTAAAATACCGCTGCAAGTATATATTCATTCTTGCAACATGAGGGTGACAAAAAGGTACTCTTGCCATATTTTCAGTGATAAGTGTTTGCCCCTGAACACTTACACAATATAACAGCCTACTGGAAAACCTCCACACTCTTAAGTAAAAAAATGCTGAGAAACCTAAATGTTATAAGCACGTCCGCTCCTAATCAGTAACTGTAGGGCTCTGCAAACAATAATAATCATAATTCTCTATTTTCCTGGAAAATAACAATTTCAGAACAATAAAACTGTGATGAAGAAAAGCAAAACTTTTACTTAGAGGACAACAATTTTACTTCTCAATTAAAATTTCATTTGGGAATAGGGCAAACAATAATCGTGAAGAAACTACCTAAAAATTCCTCTTTGTCATGAGCTAAATTTCTTTTTCTCTGCTTGGACTTCTTTAGCTCTCTTCAAAATAACTTCATTTCTCTGTTTTATCTGTTGAATACGCACATCCAGCTCTCGTTCCCTGGAAAACTTTTTTGTTTCCCTTTTTGGAGATCTCTTCTTGTTCAGCTCTTCATTCTGGGTAGCTTTCCTCTCACCTCCTTTCTTCCCTGAAAGTCGAGACCTCAGGTCTGTAAGAACAAAAAAGTTGTCAACTTTTTGTTTTGCATTAGCACTGCATAAATGATAATGATAAGAGATTGTCAGATTCTCCATCCACAATTCTGTACATTACCAAGTCAAACACAAGGAGAATTTGACATTGCATCAAATTTCCCCTAAATAATATTCCGAGCACCTCTTCATTAATATTCCATTGGAAAGTACAAGTCAAAACAACTAAGAATTTTCGATATGCCATATTTCCTCAAATAAGTCCCTCAGGAACTTATTTAAGAGAAGGGGCCCTTACTGAAGGGGGGGGCACTTATTAACCCTTTAACTCCCATGAGTGACCAAGACAGAATTTCTCCTTACAATATCAATACAATATCAACCAGATAAGTGATGAGAATAAAAGAAAATATCAATTTGGGGATAATTTGTTGATCCAATACTACATTCTCTGAACTAACATTATAAGAATTGTATGGTTGACAGTAAGGAGAATTACAAATTTGATCTGGGAGTTGAAGGGTTAAGTTAGCCCCACAACAGGACAACAATTAAGAGAACAGGTAACCCACAAGAAGGAACTCTGCAAGCACATGGAGATAGAAACAAATGTAAGGGACTCTAACTGAAAAGTTACAGTTCTCTTGTACTGATTCTGCTGAAGAGAAAAAAGGTATAAATAAAGTGGCAATAGGAACAGGTCATGCTGTTTGGGGAAGTGAAGTGAAGTGAGGAAGGGGGGGGGGGTTTGCTTATTTGAAAGGGGCACTTGTTTGACACTGTGGCCTTAGGTGTGGGTGGTTTTAAGAGGAAGACACCTCCTAAAGAGCAGGTGCTTATTTGAGGACATAAGATACTCGCAATGCTTGGTTGCAGAGGCCTTCCTTGGGTAGGTCCCAACACTAAAGAAAGCCGACATGTAAATGTACCAACTAACCTTTGGGTTTTACAATTATTGCACCATCCACATCCACATCCCTCTGAACTGTACGCTTTGAAGTACTTTTGCTTTCACTGGCACCTTGTTTAATTGTTGACGAAGCTCCTCTAACTTTGGACATTTTTTCAGTGTCACTTTTATCCTGATTTCTCATCTCTTTTCTTGGTGATGTTGACGAGTGTGTTGTAGTAATTTTATCTTTACTTTTATCTTTCCTTTCCAGATGTTTTTTAACGTCACTTTTCATACTGTCTCTTTTGTCTGATTTTTCTATATTTGATTTCGACTAGTTTCCTAGTTTTTCTGCTCCTTGTTCGTGAGTCTGACCTGGAGTGAGAACGGTGAAACCTATTATTTTGGCTGTCTCTAGAAATTCTTTCATGTTTTCTGTCTCTACTACGACTCCTCTGGCGATGGCTATAATTTTGCCTTCTATGAATTCTATCTGTTGATGGTGAATGCGACCTTCTATGAAGATGTCTTTCCCTAAACCTGTTGTGTAAGTGTTGATCTTGCAGTCTGTCACGTGAACGCGAGTGACTGTGGTATGAACGCAATGAAGTACGAGATCTTTCTGGTGAGTGGGAACGTTTTTTTCTGTCACTTTCTTTGGAGTTACTTCTCCTTCTCTTGCGGCAATCAGTAGGTATTTTTTTCAATCCTACTCTAGATTTCACAGTAGGAGGATTCTCCTCCTCTTCTTCAAAATCACTGTCCTCATCCTCAATACTGAGCTGATCAAAGTCCATTTTCTCCTCATTCTTAGTCTCTGATTTCAACTCTATCACAAGTGGCTTTGTTTCCATGTTAATACACATCTTGGCCTTGCTTTCATGACTGATAGCTTTCTCACTAAAAGTTGTGGCCTTGTTTTCATGATTGGTATCATTCTCACTACAAGCTGTAGCCTTGTTTTCATGACTGGCATCTTTCGCACTACTAGCTGTGGCCTTGCTTTCAAGACTGATAGCTTTGTTACCACTAGTTTTAGCCTTGTTTTCAAGACTGACAGCATTGACTGACACAATTTCATTGCATTTTTGTATCACTTGTTTGCTGTTTAGGTTCTCCTTATCTTTGTCCTTCAACTTTTCCTTTGGTGGTAAATCTTTACTGTTTTGAAAGTTTGATGAAGTTACAATTCCTTGTTTCTCTCCAGTAAGAGGTTTGGAAGTGCTTTTCTTTCCTTCTTGTAGACTTGTGACAGTTACATTAGTACTTGTTTCACTTTTGGAAATAGCTTGTTTAAGTTTTCCTTTATTAACAGGTGCTACCTTTGTTTTTATATTTGCTGCAGAAGTATTCACTGTTACAGATTCCACCACAGGGTTATCTCTTTTGCTGACTTTTTTCCTGAGGTACTTGACTCCCATTTGAATGATTTCTGTCCACTGTTTTTGTTTTACTCTCAATATGATTGTCCTTCTCTTCTTCACTGTCTGACCGACTGACAATGATGCGTTGCAAGGATAGCAAACTATTCTTATTTATACTTTCACTAACACTTCCGTCAACTTGGTTTAACTCGCTGTTATTATCAACTTCGTCATCGACAATTTCCAAATTGACACCAGAGTTCACAATGAGTGACTCGTTGGCAATAGTAATACTGATGTCATTTGAGATACTGATTTCATTGTCAGAGTCTGCCATTTCATCTTCCAACTGTTCTGAATTATTTTCCAAATTATCCTCTGAGTCTCTGTTCATTTCTTCCTCATCTTCACCATCATTTGAGATATTTTCAAACTCATCTTCATCAGTGAGAATATCATGATCATCAACATCCTTCTGATCTGAAAAATTGTCATTTTCAGCAGCAAACTCCTCCGTCAAAATGGTATCATTTCTAACATTATCATCTTCACTTAGACCACCATCTGAATCCTCTTGATTCTCCATTTCTGGATCATCTTTAGGGGAATCACTCTGAAAATCATCATCACTACCTGAATTAACAAGATCCAAGTCACTCTCATTATCTCCTGACTCGTGGTATGACTTCTCACTCAGGTCAATTTCTTCATAATCTGTACTTGATGAGGAGAAGCTGTCCTGTCTTTCAAGAGCAACTATCTGCAAATCACATTTTTTCTTCTCCTGCTAGACTTACATGTCGCGTATCCCCACATCTGCTGAAGCTGATTGTCGTTTCCCATAAGAATTCTGCAAGTATAACATTTTTTTCTTAAGGGTAGTTCAGTGTATTGAGTGCTAATGCAACAACGATGTACTACCAAAGGTTATTATGTGCTATTAACCATTTACACCCTAGCATCAACATCTTAATCCTCCATACTCTTCTTCATATGATTCATTTGGTACTAACAAGGATAACTTGTTAAACAATCAAAGCTTCTTAGGTTGGTAATCATTTCCTTTTATTCACAGGTTCTTAATGAAAGACTGCGTTAGGAGAAATTAGATACCAATCACTTTTAAGGTTTAAAGGGTTAATATGTTTTATTATGCAGTAAGACTAGTGATACTACTTCGGTATGTCTACTCATTGACATGACAGCGCTGTTACCTTGCAGAATGACTGTGCCAGGAAATAAATATTATACTGGCAAATAATTCATTTCATTATATGTCTCAGATAGCATGTGAGCTATGATTGGTCAATTTAGTGGGCCGTATTTCGCTGTACAGCCCACTAAATTGAAAAGTTTATTTCAACTGAAATCTTCTCCCTGTAATTGAACTTAGGGATAAAATAAATATCTTATTACCTTTTTTTTCTCAGTAAGTATTGTAAGTTACAGAACCTTATGTCTGTTTTGCTCAGTCAATAACATACAGTTTGAAGCTGAACTTGCTCAAAAACAGACATTTATAAGGACAGTAATAAAAGAGCAAGTTTGTCCTTAATGTGACAAGTAAACAGATTTGCAGGAAGTTTGCTGATGAGCTGATAACACATCTATAAATTTGAAATTAGCAGTCCTTTTCTCACCTTTGTGCCCAGGCTCTTTAAGGCAGCAAGCCGCAATGTTTCCAGGTCATCAAAGTCCTCAACATCATCATCATCATCATCTTCATCAATGCTTTTGACAATCCTTCTGTTGGGCTACAATAGTAAAAAGACATCCAAGTCAGAACAGAGGTTCTATATTTCCCTTACACTGCAACTCTCGTCTACAAGAGTTTTGCAAGTTTAACCTTACACACCTTACCAACAGTATGCATATTCCCCCTACATTTCCTATACATTTCCTATAGTGCTGACAAGGAGAATATGATAAACAATCAAGAGGCCTCTTTAATTGGTGATCATTTCCTTCATTCTCCTGACCGCAAATGTTTGACTCAGGAGTGATAATATACAGAAAAAATCAATGCTGGTCACTCTAGAGGGTCAAATAAAAGGGTTGAGAGAAACTTTCATGGAAAAGTACCCTTTTTAAAACATTTTTCGAGTTATGGTTTCTTTTAAAGTATAACTGAGCTAATCAAAACTATAACAAAATTCTTGAATGTGATTGGTCATCACCAGCCTGATTTGAGCATTAATAGGACAGAGTACACATCATGCTTGTAATTGGACAGTGTAATAGGACAGTTAAAGGGATGGTTAACACGTCATGCCTATGTAAGTGGACAGAACGTGTCATGAGCGCGCGCTGTTGTCTCACATTTTGCTAAGTTAACAGTTGATTTTTTTAAGAAAATGTACAACTGATTTCTAGTTTCTTTCTCAAATTTTGTCATAGTTTTGATTAATTGGTTACAGTTCTTTGCGTTGTCCAATTCTGTCTGTAATCATACTTGTGACTAACAAATTGGACTCCCGCTTCGTGGTCATCTAATTTTGTTTAGCACTCGTATGATTACAGACCGAATTGGACTCTACTCGGTCCTAATACCATTATTAATCTCAGCGGCTCCACTTAAGCTTAGACTGGTAGCAATAAAATGGTTTAATTTCACCCTGTCTTAATTGTTGACTACTGTGAAGACAATTTAAAAACTTTTCACTAGAAAAAGGAAAGGTAACACGCGCTGCAGCGCATAATACTCCTACATCCTCCGGTTACATTTCTTTCCCCTGTCGGTTTTACCTTGTACTATTACACGGCAGTATAAACAAGCGGCCTAATTTTAAAATTAAGATAATGAATTTGATTAGAAATTGCAATAAAAAATCTGTGGTACAAAGGATTCAAGTAGCGTACCCAACCTAATTTATCGCGTTGGAAATGCAACACTTAACAAACAAATGGAATAAACGACAAGCATCTAGATACCGCGAAACAAAAACTTCAAACCGAATTTGCACCAGACACGCACGGAAGACTTTACCTCAAATTCTTTTGAGACTGCAACCCTGTAAAGGTCTCGTCTGAAAACGTCGTACTCATTCTACGAGTAAAAGTATAAGTGAGGATTTAATTTAGAAAAGGGTCAATCAAACAAAGTCACTAAGGACGACAGTCGTTTTCTGCTAAATACCTGCTCCAAGGCGTCCATCTTGAATCTTTCCCTTCCGACTCTTCGGATCTCGGTGCGCATTACTTTGCGACAATAACCGCTGATAAGTAGGCGCGGATATTATTTTTCGACTGACACGAACAAGAAAAAAACGTGCCTTTAGTATATTTAGTTCTTTTCCCTTTATATATCAAATTTTTGCTACTTTCAACTTAATGAAACCTGGCCCAGAACCTAACACCCTTCCCCCAACTACTAGGCTTGTCCCGATTGTGGCCGTAAAATGCTGGAAATTTCTGAAAATTGCTAAAAAAATTGCCGAAAATCCAGAAAGTCCCATTGAAAAGTCCTATTCCATTCACGCAGTAAAGTGGCGCGCGGTACTAAATTTTTTATCACATACTTGTTATAGCCACACTTTTGGATATGCTGAAAGTTTATTCGATTGTAAAAGCAGTTCAACCCTAATTCAAATCCCAGTAGTCTTGTTCGAACTAAGAATATCCTTTAACAACAGGTGCCTGATTAGAGATTATTTATTTCATAATGCGCCGATCAACTCGAGACTACATCCCCCCCCCTCCCCGGCAACCCACGGGTATTTTACCGTCGTACATGCCCATGAGGTGGGGAATTTTAACCTTGCCTGGCTGGGGTGGGAAATTTGATACAGAAGTACTAAGTCTTTCCAGCAGAATACAACAAGAGTTACATCTTTCAACATGGAGGCATTTAATGTAAATAGTCCACTTTCGTGTGCGAATGATTCAGAAGAAAAGATCTACGAGGCTTAGGTTTTAAAGTTTAGTTAATGTGTAGAAAGGCAAGTTGAGGATTTGCCTTTTTGCAAAAATTTTTGGTATGGCATTCGAACACAGTTTTACCCCAGAGGCGGGAATTTGAACAAACAAATCTTCAAATGCCCGGGGAGTAAGCCGGGGAGAGGGGTGGGAGGGGAGTATGATGAAGTTTCGAATTTATAGACGCATTATCAACAGGTAAATACATAGTAAACTGTATCACGAGTCATAAATAGATGAAAAGTTCAACAATCACAAAACCAAAACAATAGCTGTTAACAGCGCTCACCCAAGGTTAAATTTCAATCCAGATTTCTTTATTCCTTTGATCAAAACCCTTTTCAGGATGATTTTCCCTATTCTGTTTAGAGCGTAATTTCTCAGAGAAAAAGAGTTCTATAACAATCAGTCTTTCCTTAAATAATTCCTACACCATGATGTCTGTTTTGAAAACTGCAAGAAAACAGATAGTTCACCGAGCTTGCTAAATAGGTATGTTAAGCCAATCTTACCCCTTCTATGCACTGGTACTAACTACGCACGTCATTTCATCGGTTCACGGTACATTTTGCGGTAGCGGGAAGCAAGGGTTTTCAAAAAATACTTGTTGGGTAAAACGTTTCGAGAGTATTGAAAAATGAATTGTAAACAAGATCGCGCAGTTTTAAAGAGCATCGACTCACAACGTTCCTCGAGTCGTTAAATCATGCGCATGAGTTGTATCAAGGGGGTAAGTTTCTAAAGAAACTGTGATGCTGCGTCGGTGGGAGAATATAGCAGGGTAGTTTAGAATTATCAACAGAGTTGATAACGTAAATTGGCCATTGTAAAGAGTTTAAAAGCTGACGTTTCGAGCGTTAGCCCTTCGTCAGAGCGATTGCTGTATCCTCGAGCAGCGGCCTTCGTGGTAATTTGTACACCAGGATTATGCTATAAAAAATATAGCTCACTGTTTCCTTACTCGGAACTGGTTAGATCAAATGACCACCACAAACCGTATAATATTAAGCCAAGCTTTAATAATTATTCGATCTAAAAGAAATACATTTATAATTCGCAATCAGAACAAACGCAAATCAAGTCTTAATCTCGCAGCTAAGTTAAAAAACTTCAATGTAAACTTACTTCTGTCGCGGGTCGTTACAACAGTCTCACTTTACAGGTTAGCAGATTCTCCAGGTAGGCAGATTTAGAGACAGAAAAAATGATAACAAAATAACTTCTCTCTCACTTCGATTCCGGTGAAAAACTGACTTAAAACATAATAATCTAACGCTTTTAAATCAATCTATAGAATTTATGTCAATCGCGAATCTTGTCATTAAGTAAATCTATCAACAAGAGGCAACGCCTATTTGATAAACGAAACACTCACTGTGCTCGTTCAAGAGGAAAAGACCATCGTACCGGTATACCTCGCCCATTGATTGAAAAACAATTCGTTAATTTTGGAATGCGTGCACCCTTATTAGTTTGATTACGTGATTTGTATGCGCAATACAGGATGCGCATAGCATTATCGAGGAATCACCTAGAGTCAATAACAAACAAACCTAAAAATTCAAGTTCCCAATAGTGCGCAAATCCAAACACACATGATGTAAATCTTTTTCAGAGTCTGATACTTTCATTACTGTTTCTTCTGGTTACTTAAATACAAACCTAGTCTCGTACTTAGACCTTCCACGGTGAAGTGGTCGCAAGAATTTAGTTTAAGTTAAACGGTAGGATCTGGATACGAGATTAATGCGATACCGCTTTGCGGTTTCATATTGGCTAAGCGGTGATTGGCGAAACACCTAATTGAAAATGGTCCTCCTTCTCAAGCCGCTCGCAGCTTCACTGCCATACACTTTGGCGCACCGATAAACCTGAATCTGGAAACTGAAGAGTTCCTCATATGACAAAGATGAATTTATTTGCAACCGAACAAGCAGATGTATGACTGGAATATATTTAATGAAAAAAAAGATTGCTTGAAACTAATCCAGCCTAATGCAAAATCTACAAGAGAACTGTGATATCTTCTTATATGTCGTACTCTTCTACAATCGGAACGGCGAATGCACATTCTGTTTCGATGCCCAGGTTGTAGTCTCCCCGGCATCCACCTTGGTAACTGGATGTTACGATTCTAAACCAGCCTCTCTCTCCCCAGGGTACGCCCCAGGAATTGCGCACAATCCAGTATTCTGTACCATTTTCAACACCCCAGCCAGCGACTGACACACAGTGGTTTAACTTTAGGAATTTATTGTATTCTTTGTAGATCCCTCCTTGATACTTATTTTCAAAGGTTTTAGTCGCCATGATAGCACAGGAAATAGGGCCCCGAGCGTAAATTTCAGCCTTCATCTCCTCACGTCCTCTTAAAACGCCTACAACAGCATTGGGAGAATTTGTACGGAGAGGATTTGTTATTATCACGTTAAAAGTTATCAAATATGTTCATTACTTTATAAAAAAAAACTGAGATATTACAGGCGCCTCCCTGATTGGTCAAAATCTATCGTTTATTGAACTGGTTAACCCACAGAAATTGAAACATTTTAAGTTTATTTCATAAAAGCAATAGTTTGCACTTTCTATCTTAATTTGAAACGTTTGCCAGAGCCGCGTGATTTACAAACGTTTTTCGTGTTCTCCCGACATCCCACGTAGGGTTATTACACCGGTACACCGATAGAAAGTGAGGTCATTTGCTTAATTATCGGTCATCACCTTCAAATCATCCACTTACCGTATTCACTGACTCTCCATAAGGTGTAGTTTTTTATAGCATAGCATTTTTGAGGGGTACAGGTTCCACACTGATTGAATGGCGTGCATATCTGGTCTTTGGCTTGATAATTGTTACACGTTTCATCTGGTATACCATGTTCATGAGCGTAACGATACACACTCAGTGAACCGCCACCTCTGCAGCTGCCAGCTTTCCCTGTTGTATCATTATTTTTTAATTCATTGTTAATAAAGCAATCGTCAAATAAGTGGTGGAAATAATCCGAAATTGTTTCGGTTTTGGTTTCGAGCACTTTTCTATTATGGGTGCCATAGAGCCAAAGCCAAAGCCAAATTGTTAACATGGACCAATCAGAAGAAAGGAAAACACCTTTAAGAGCCAATCAGAACTCAAAAGAAAACAAGCAAACTGCTTAAAGCGCGGGAAAACGCGGGCGACCAAGTTGTGTTTTGTTTTAGCTAGTTTGCATCTCATTGATTGAAAGGATAGTGCGAATTTTATGGACTAATCGCAGAGCGAGGTACAGCAAAACCAAAGGAATGCCAAATTACTTTTTAAGCTCAATTGAAAATTTCATTAATTTGCCATGAAATTGATGCAGAAAACTAATGCCTTTTTGTGAACCAATCAGATTCCGAGCAAACCAACCACGGCCTCTCACTCGTGTTTTCGCACACTTAAATCAGTTTGCTTGCTTGTTTGTTTGTTTGTTTGTTTTGTTTTTTAGTTCTCATTGACTGTAAGTGATATATTCCTTTTGATTTGCTGTTGTGATTACTTCGGATTTGGTTTTGCGACACTAACCAGAAAATTATTCTAACAAGTGGAGTGGAAGAGGAGGTGAGTGATACTTTCCATTCACTTCCGAACGAGCCAATCAGCGCGCACGAAAAGTACTATTCACTTGAGTGGTGTATATTAATGCCACATAGTATGCACTTAAACAGTGGAGTAGATCTGGGTACGAGATAGCGTTTGAGGCGCGCTCTGGTTGGCCACCCATACTTTGAATATCCTTCGCTATTCACCTCTGAGCGACTCACCTAGGATTTGCGCCCGAAAACGTTGTAGTCGTTGCAGGAATAAATGAGTTAAAATAATCTTTTAGCTATATTATGCCACTGTTTTAGTATATACTAGAACAACTATTCACCTCAGTATCGGTGGCAGGTGGTGGATATATTTACCTCGCAGATTCGCGCCTCGATAAACATCCACCACGAGCTACCTCCACTCCAGTGAATGGTCGTTAACTATCGAGGGGTGTCACTTTCTTAATTCTGATTGGCTAAATTTTCAAGCATGCATTTGAGTCTAAGCAGCATAGTTCTATAAAAAAAATAATAAAAAAAATAATATAATAATGATGTACTTGCACAAAAAGATACGAAAAGTGAAAATCAAATGAACAAACAAAATAAAATATGACCAGAAAATAAACGGCTATGTGGTTATCATACAAATTTCTTTTGGACCCAAATTAGTCGCGTACTCAGACCTTCCACGGCCAAGCGGTTGTGAGGATCCAACATTTTAATTACAGTTCAACGGTAGGATCTGGGTATGAGATTAGGCCCACATATTGACCACAACTTGCTTACCGCAATCTATGACATTCTGGACTGACAGGAGGTTACTTGGCCACTTTCCCTTGCGTAGGATGTTGATTCTGTCTGATATTGAACTGGTTGATCCAAAAGCCCAACAGGAGCCACAATATTGGGGAATGTGTTGATTCCGTGTCACACTGGCCAGGTTACCTTTCCCGGGAATGTCTCTCAAATCCCACTGTTTTGGAATTGAATCGGCAGTAAGGTACTCATGTGGCCGGGGAGTCTTGCTAGTAAAATAAAAAACAGAACCCATTTTGATTGACGTTTGTAGGACCGAGACTAGAGTACACGCAACGACCATTCAGAGAAGGGAAACTATCACGAAGGAAAAATGGAACGCAAAGTATGAACGAGCAAACTGCCTAAAGGGTGGTATGAAGCGTGTAACCAATTTTTTAAAAATCTGAGTGGCCAGAAGTGCACACCCTCAAAATCGCGTAACGTACTTTGATGCACTTGACGACTTTTTCTCACCGATCGCGGCGCATGTGATCGTCAACGAAATCGCCGATATCTTGTATGCCAGATATTGGAGATTTTATACGCCGATCGCGGCGATTGGCGAATATCGCAATCGTTGCACTGAGTACACCTGGCGATTTCGGCGATCGACGCATAAAATTCCCAAGTGTGTTACCGGCTTAATGAGCGATTCGCGAAAATTTCATGAGTTGAAATTTATTCAGTTTTCCGTTGAGTTATCAAAAAGCGATATTAAAAGGCGTTTCCCCCTCTAGAATCAGCACTTAAATTAAAGTGTCTCGTATATCCATTTTCAACCACATCCTTACGCATTTGTCTCTTACTTTCGATTTCAAGGTATCCTTTTTGATGAGTAATCAAGGTTTAAAAAGTCCAAACACAGTCAAGATGATGACCATCGAGGGGACAAAATCAGGTGCACGTTTAAACTGCTTCAGTTAAACAGTTTGATTTCAACCGAAAGAAAGAAAGCTTCTTTTCATCTAAACTGCATGAAAGAACGAAAAAGTGCGCATCAGAAAGTAAACGTACATGACTTCCTCTATGCCTTCGTCAAAACTTGGGCTGTAGCAGGTCTGGAAATCTTTAGCGGCAGAACTTCCGATAGCCAAAGTAAGTCCCAAGAAGGTTAAGTACCCGAAAAGAAACTTCATTCTTGCAAGAAATACCGTGGCTCCTTACAGCAACGTTTTAACAGCTAAAATGTCTTATACAAGGTCGGAATAAACCTCACTGCTGAAAAATCCCATTCTAATCACTAGCAAATCGTATGCAAGTCACACGACCATCAGAAGAATTTCTGTGAAAGGATCTTTGGGTGTAAGATGAGACCTTGAGATGGTTGTGAGAATAACGTGATTTATTATTTCTCTCTTTTAGCACGTGCGCAGTACTTAATTGAAAAGTTTGTTTCAGAGAGACTGAAACAAACCTTCTCACCCTGTTTGTTTTTGGTACGGTTAGCGGGTGGACTTTGATGTCAAAAGTGACTGATATGGATTAATTTCCTAGCAACAGACACCCACCAAGAATGAAAAGGTATCAACGGTCGAGAAATGTTTCCAAAAGTTTGACTCTAGTAGAAACAAGTGCTCCTAGCCTCAGTAACACAAAATTAATTTATAGCAAGATAATCTCGGGGTGAATCCGAACACTCCGGTTTCTTCGCACTAGGTCAGAATTTTGCCATGTAGGCCGTTTCCGGGGAATGGTCCCAAACCGTTTATTTAATTTCTCGAAAGCCGAAAAATTCAAAATAACCAAGTTTGGTCCGAGTACCATCAATACACTACCCACTAATCTCACTTGCTTGAGCTGTACTGAGGAATATTGACTCTCGGACCACGCTGTACTCGGCCCTTACTGCCTCGACAACGCATCGCCCAGAATTCAGCGACATATCCGGGACTTTCATTGAGACGCTGGCGCTAAATTTAAAAGCTAATTAGAAAATGATTGTCAAACAATAAAGGAAAAGGGCTGAAAATGTCGAGGAAGGCTTACGTTCTCTTCGTTTACGGATAAACTACTTTTCAAATGCTACTTTTACCATATGGCTTTTAAAGAAGAAAGTTCAATTGAATAGTGTATCATTCTCACTTTGTTCTTGCGCTTTCAGAAGAGGTCGCAAATTTGCCTTGAAAATTGACTATGTTAGCATCCTGCTTGTATGAGAAGTCGATCTCAGCACACTTTCAGGCGTAATTTACCTTCACTCAATTGCTAGATTTCTCTTTTACCATATGGTTATTATTATTTGACATTCTAGAAAGCGTCATAGAAATTTTCAAGGGATTCCAAACTTTGGAAGAAGTCGCAAAACGCGAATTTCGAAAACGTTTGCTAAGCATCGTAGCATTCTATCCAAATTTGTCCTTTGGAGACCCCCACGAGAATACAAGTGACCTATTTTAAACTTCCCGCGAGAATATCAAGGTATGTTAAGCTCCGCCTCCGCAAACAATCGCGCACACGCCGCCTAATTAGTATTGAAATTGAGGTGGTAACTAGACAATGCTTAAAAAACTGTAAAAGCTTTTTAGATATGATCGCTGAGATCGCTGCAGAAATATTCAGCAATCGTTACTATCATATGGAAACCACATTCCTATTAATGTCGCAAGATAGACTCTAGTTCTTTCTCGACGATCGTCGCACTCACAAGCCGGTTGTCGGAAGCATCGCTCATATTTTTCTCTACCGATTGAAGCGATTTTAACGAAGTAGATTCTTCATGATACTTTTTTTCTAAATTTTTCTTTTTTCTATTTTCATGATACTAATTTTTATAATTGACCAACGGGAGTCTGTCAGTCCATATAAGAATTCGCTGCAAACGAATTTGCTAAACGCTTTGTTAAGAGCGTGGCTATTGTTAATTAATGCTATTGTTCACTTTATGTCACCTTGGGATTTACTTTACGCATCCAACCGTTTGATTGACAGCAGCTGAAATCTGCAGAGACTCATGTATTCCCAAAGCTTTACCTACTGACCAATCACAACCGACTAGTTCAGGATATGCAAATTATTATGCTGCCCGCTGATTAAATGGGCACTGCAAGTACATGTCGCGAAAGACAATAGCATTCTGGGCGATGGGACCAATAATTCCCAGTGCGGCCCTCGCGCTCGGTCAGAGAGAAGTTATTATTCAGTTCTTAACAACATAATTTCAAAAGCTTTCAAGAACAGAATGCAAAGCAATTAATCGTTTATTTTTGACATTCCCTGGGTATAATATTTACTATCAGGGTTTTTGGTGAGATTTGGGGAAGACAATGATCATGTAAAAAAGTTACAATGATATGTACACTCTGTGTTTGAGTATTATTGTGCAATCACAAAAATTATTTAAATTATATTGTAGGCCTGCAAGGTCAGCATGTGTCTTTAGTACAGTCCATTCCTAATATACATTACAAAACACAGAAATAGTCATTTTTTTCTGCGACTTTACCTCACTTTGCTCATTAAATCAGTTGTCTGCTGATTGTACAGTAATAGAAAAATAAATTAAGATTTTCTTTTGCAAAGTTACATGATCTTAGGTTTGCTGATCTACACCTAAATGCAGAGACACTTTCATGGGAAAAAAAAGCTAAACGCAAACAAGGAAAAACCCACACAGGAATTGATTTTACAAATTCATATCATTCATCTTATATAGGGTGTAGTCTGGAAATTACTACATTTAACAAATAAATCTAAGAGATCTGTCTCAGTTAACTTATATCAACTTAACTTGTAATTTAAAGTAAGGAAATTTTTTATTCTGATCAATTCCCATTTGGATTTTTTCCCTTTTTTAAATTACTTTCTCTTTGATGTTATTGCAACTAGGTGAAAGTTGCACTATGATATACTTTTGACGAGAGTTTTTAGGAAATAGAATTGTTGCTTACTACAGTTGTAGCAATTTATCAGAAAGTGCATTATTTTTTAAAAAAAGGTTGCCATAGTACATGCAAGCTAGGATATCGTGGGGTGGTTTGTTAAGTTAGTGAGAAGCACAAAGCAGTTTTTCATTTATCCACTGCAGCTTAAGCAATCAGGATTGTCCCGAGAGCATGCCAAGACTTCTGTGTTCTCCTTTTTGGTTTTAGCTGTCTTCTTGAGGGTTTCTTGATCAACTGTAAACTGGATTGCATTAGCAGCAGGGCGTGAACGCAAGTAGTACATTCCAGTCTTCAGGCCCTGCAAGATGTAACAAGCAGCCCATTATTCATTGGGTTGTATTAAAGACACCTACTAAAGTCACTCTAGCTATGTTATCATGCTGTGTTCCATTTTTATTTCAAATCCTTTAACTCTGAATATAAATTCTTCCCTCATGCTGCTACACATTTCCATGTCAATTGGTAACAAGAATTTTGAGTTAGGTTGATAGAACAACTTCTATTGTACAACCTAGAGTTCTCTTATCACGTGTTTGCTGGATAATATATGGATATTGTGAGAAGTTACATGTTTATCACTAATGGGAGTTAAAAGTTAAGAGACAACCCTCAGAATGCTTCTCTCCATGAGGGAATATTTAAATAAAACTGCCAAGTTGTCAAGGGGTTGACTCGTCCCTCTATACCGCTCTGTAATATACTCTTAATCCTCCCCCCTCACTGGCAATTGATTGGCAATCATTTTTCTATACAATAATGGAGACGAATGTTCCCCCTAAAATCCATGCAACCCCCCTTGACTCGGTTGACTCGTCCCTATATACCGCTCTGTAATATACTCTTAATCCTCCCCCCTCACTGGCAATTAATTGGCAATCATTTTTCTATACTATATTGGAGACAACTGTTCCCCCCGAAATCCATGCAACCCCACACCCCCAGGTGACAAATAATGGCTGGCTCCTTATTTAACAATTAGGAGCCCCTATGATTAGGTAGAAGCCGTCTAAATGCACCAAGCAAAGTCTGCTAGAAGAAAACACATTGAAAGCCAGTTCAATTAGCATTCTATCCAAGAGGCTTCCAGGAGTTACAACACTCCATGCTGATGAAATCAAGAGAAACTAGGCTCACAAGAATCTATCATTCAACTAACTCAACAAAATATTCATGCTCTGGAAAATGAACAAAAACTAATCACTTTAATATGGCACATGTCTAATGTGACAACACCATTCATAAAAAAACATTTACCTTTTTCCAGCCATAAAAATGCATGCTTGTTAGCTTGCCATAACTGGGTTCAGCAAAGAACACATTGAAGGACTGGCTCTGGTCAATGAAAGCTCCTCTGTCTGCTGCCATGTCCACAAGAGTTCTCTGAGAAATTTCCCAAACTGTCTTGTACAAAGGCTTTAGGTCATCAGGGATCTCATCAATGTGCTGTAGTGAAGAACAAAGGACACCTTTTTAATAAGTGTCATAAAATTCTTTGATGACTCCAAAGAAAATAAGTAAATCAATTAAATAATGAGTGCCAAATAGGGACGATCTGACTTTGTTAGTGGCTTGTATATGCAGTTTAAAAACTGCACATATCTGTAGTTGCAGGAAAAAAGTATGTAGTAAGATGAGACTTTGAAAAAAATAAATGCAGGGCATTGAAATTTGGCTAGAGAATTCTCCAACCTCCACTGCCTAATATACACCTAACAACTGTTGATCAAGAAAGCCCATTTGTTGTCATTGGGTATTAAGGAATCAGTCAGTCCATTAGGAATCTTCTTTGGAGGTTGTTCATGACCTGTACCATTTCACAAATACCTGAATGGATCCATTTGCGGCTATGATTTTGTGCTTCAAAGTCTCATTCCAGAGTCCTCTTTCAGTCAAGTCCTTCAACAGATGATGGTTTACAATCTACAAGATAAAAAGACATTAACTGCAATGAGCCTTTATTTTCACTACTAATACTGTATACAGTGTTCTCCTTTTCAGGCAGTAACCGGTAACATTTACCGCCCATAGTATTGTAGTACCATTTAAAACTGCTTGGAAATCTTGTAAAAGGATTGCTTTACTGGTTTGAAAATTTATTTTACCTGTCATGCTTAAAATAAGGGAGAATACTGTGTATATCATTGTTTTTCTACAACAATCAAGAATGTACCTGAAACTCTCCTGAGAGAACGCGTCGAGTGTAGATGTTACTCGTGTAAGGCTCAAAAGACTCGTTGTTGCCAAGGATCTGTGCAGTGGAAGCTGTTGGCATTGGTGCAATCAACAAACTATTCCTTAATCCATACCTAAATAAACAACAAAAAGTAATAATCCATCAAGTTGTCAAATGGAATGTTCTTATCAAATTATATGATTAACAGACACCCTGTTATAGAAAATGTTGTTGTTCATTGTGGTTTTTCAGATAAGTGAAATGTTAAATACTTTGTCTCCCAGTGTGGAGTTGGGCTATCAAATGCATTAAGGGGGTAAGTTTGTCAAAAAACTGCGGTGCTGTGTTGGTGGGAGAGTATAACAGGTAATTAAGTGTTAACAACTGAGTTGAAAAAATAAATTGACCACCATAGAGAGTTTAAAGGCTGTTGTTTCAAGTGGTAGCCCTTCATCAGAGCAATTGCTGAGGGTTAACACTCAAAATGTCAGCCTTTAAACTCTTAACAGTGGACAATTTCCATTTTCAACTCAGTTGTTAACGCTAAAATTACCTATCAAATGTATTGATCATGGTGTTTTGACTGCTACACTGATAGTCTTAGTCAGGCAACAGAACTTTGAGAATTAAAAGATTTTGACAGCCATATTTCATTAACTAAAAAAATGAAAATCTTACTTTTTTATTTCTGCCTTGAGAGCTGCCCAATCCCAGAAATCAGATGGAGTGACATTCCAAAGATCATACTGAAGTTTCTTTAGAAGTGAAAAAGATTAAGAATGTTAACCCCTTAACTCCCATGAGTGACCAAGACAGAATTTCTCCTCACAATATTAAAACAAAACCAGGTAGACAAGAGATGAGTACAAAGAAAAATACAAACTAGGCAAATATAAGTTGATCTAATATCAAGTTCTCGTAAAATAACATCATCAGAAATGTATATCACAAAGTAAGGAGAATTACAAATGAAATCTTGGGAGTGGGAGGGTTAATAAGTGAAGGAAGTCAGAGTGGGTGCCTTTAACCTTTATTCCCCGAAAGTGATCAGTATCTAATTTCTCCTCGCATTATCACCCCTGAATCAAATATTAAGGTCTTGAGAAAGAAGAAAATGGTGACCAACTAAAGAAGTTCTGGGTTGTTAACCCTTTAACTCCCAGAAGTGATTAACATGTGTCTTCTCCCTATTATATCCATACATTGACCAGCAAGCAGGTAATGAGAATACTCAAACTTATCAGATTAAAGTTGTTATCTTGATCTAATACTAAATTCTTGCAGCTATTACAGATGGAAATGTGTAGCAGCTAGAGGAGAGATTTAACAATCAGATCCTTGGGAGTTAAAGGGTTAAACAAATTTTCATCCCTCTTCATTCCCAGTAGTGACTTGTTACTTTGGTACATCTCTGTCGATGTTTCCACATTGACATGGCTGCCAAGTTCAATTTCTCAAAAAGTCACCTTTTGGCAACCTTCAATTGTAAAATTGTTGTTTTAGAAAAAATTTTGGTCACCCTTTGATAATTTTACCAAGGATCAATAAATTTTTTTTTCCCCCCCCCAAATCTTTTGGTCACCAATTGGTGCCTTTGGTCAAAATTTTACTTGCCATGGCAACCAAATTGGTTGCAACTTGGGGTGTTGATATTAGATGTACAATCCACTTAAAAAAATTATCCTTATTTTTCACCTCTTGATATGGTGAATCTTTACTTTTTGATAACAATCTCTTATCACCACCTAATAAAAGATGCAATTCAGTCTAAAGAACATCTTTACCCCTTGGCTTGCAGGTGACCCTTGGTAGGTCTCATATGTCCCTTTTTCTTTAGCCAGCTTGCAGGAAGCCTGTAATAGAGTAAAAAGTATTAGATATTCGTCATCTTCTTATGAATGCTGAACAACTAGATCTATAGATGAAAGCAAAGTAGTTATTCTTTAACAATTGAACTACCAATACAAGATTTTCAAGGTTAGGTTTACAAGTTCCAACTCAGAGTAGGAAGAGATATGAAAAATTTCTGTTTGGGGAACACTGAGTTTATTCTTGCAGAGCCTCTAGCCTTGCGACTCTCAAACAATGCATGTCCAAAATAATCTCATAAACCTATAAATGAAAAGCACTTACTGTCAGAGCCCCATAGTAGATTGTCTCAAATATTTTCCTGTTCATATCTCTGGCCTCTTCACTTTCAAATGGATATCTCATTAGAATGAAGGCATCAGCCAATCCCTGAAAGAACAGTAAAGAATTAATCAGCAGTGAAATTTTTTTACTCACACAGTGAGCCTCTAGTGGAATTGTACTTTAAAAAAACTGTGGTGAGTCGCCCAAAAATTAAAACACTATTTTTACCTGAACTCCGATACCAATGGGCCTGTGTCTCTTGTTGGATTTTTCAGCCTGGAAATTCAAACCAAAAAAAAAAGAAAAAGTTAAGTGAGTAAATGCCACAATTTAATGGAAATGATGTAAATAAAAGTTGGCAAAGTAATAATACACCATCTGGAGCAGGAATTTGCATTAGATTAACCCTTTAACTCTCATGAGTGATCAAGGCAGAATTTCTCCTTACAGTATCAATACAACATCAACCAGATAAGTGGTGAGAGTCAAGAAAAATATCAATTTGGGGATAATTAGTTGATCCAATCCTACATTCTCTGAACTAACATTCTAGGAATTGTATGACTAATAGTTAGTTGAACAAAATTGACTCTACACAAAACTTAATGCAAAAGAGAAAAAAAATTACCAAAAAGACTGAACAAAAGAATTTGAGCACAGCAAAATTTCTTACCCTCTCTGAGAAACATAACAGCCCATAGACAAAAAGGTGAGATACTGAGATACATATATATATATATATATATATATATATCAATATAAAACAGACAAACAAAGAATGAAACAAAATAAGATGCCTCTTAAACACAAACCTCCTTCACTGGGTAATAGTTGATGTCGATAATCTTGTTTAGGTTGCGTGTTACCACCTAAAAATTTTATACAGGAAATTAACAAGGAGTAAATTATTTGATATTGACACAGTGATCATTTTCCTAATCTATGTACTAACCTGGGTAACCTCAAAAAGTTTTTGGAAATTGTATGTGGGTCGGCCCCCTCCATTGGTTACAACAAACTTGTTAAGTGCCAGAGATGCTAAGTTACAGACAGCAACCTGAGAGATGAATGGAAAGATACTTTGTTGCTTAATAATATGTAAGGTTCTTATGAGGATTTATTTAGGCTTTCTTTCTGAAGGATTCCCTCACACCAGTAGGCCATCACTTCATTTTAATGATAACATTTCATGCAGTTATAAGCATGTTTGGATGTGTGTCAATCATCACAAAGTTTCCATGACAGTCAAATAGGAATGCCTCCTGATGCCTTCTGAAGAGAACACTGGAGCAAAACTTTTTTTTTCAAGCAAGAGGTACAGTATTGTGCAAAAGTAATACAAACAAAATACAGCAAATTTCAGTTTTTGCTCTATCAAATTAACATTTTGTTTGAACAAAGAGCTTTTTTTTTTGCTGAATTTTCTTCACAAGGCAAAAATTTATAGCAGAAAGTGTCCTTTTGATCAATAGTGTTTGTAATTTCACTTTGAACTGTCAATAGACCTCCCAAAGTGATTAAGTTTGTTTACCATTCATGTAATGAACATGAAATATTTCCAAACTTTTTCAGTCCCCAAGACAGTATGAGAATGACTCTTTATACTTGAGACCAAACACAAGAGACAAAAGAACAAAACAAGGATTTACTCAATGTTAATGTTAAAGCTCACCTCATCTGGAGAGCTGTACTCAACAATTTCAGTGCACAGATTGCTGCATTTGATTGTCCCAACATTCTGGAAGGAAATGCAGTTTGATTAAAAAAAAAAAGTACAATTTGTTTTCAATATCAGTACATTTTGATAGTTATATCTAGTACCAGGTAGATAAGGATAAATGAATAAAGGGGGTAGGTTTCTAAAGAAACTGTGGTGTTGCACTAGTGGAAGAGTATAACAAGGTAGTTTAGTATCATCAACTGAGTTGACAACTAAATTGGCCACTGCAAAAGACTTTTAAAATTGCCATTTCAAGTGTTAGCCCTTTGTCAGAGCAAAGTGTCGTGAGTCAAGAATAAATAAATAAGGAACCTTTTTATCCCTAAAAGTGACTGGCATGTATTTTTTTCATTGCATAACCCCTCAATCACACATCAAAATCATGCAAATAATGGAACTGATCTCAAACTAAAGAAGTTCTTGATTGTAAAACAAATTTTTTTTGTCAGCATCCTAGGAAATGTACAGAGAACAGTATGGAGAATATGCATACTGATGTTTGGGTGTAAAGGGTCAACCCACTTGAGTACCTGCTGATTACTTTTCCTGTTGCATGCATCTTTGTACAGCATGTAAGGTGTGCCTGTCTCAATCTGTGATTGACAGATAGCCTGCCAAAGATTCTGTGCTTTGACTTGTCTCCGAAACTTTCCTTGTTCCTCATACCTATTTACAAAGAGGGTTAAAAGGAAGAAATAAACATGATCCATACTGATAGTATTTGGTGCCAAACCATTCAACCTTTGGAATGTTTTCCTAACAGGTGCCTATTTTTATGAAATTTTATTGTTTGGGTTGGGGCTCCAAGGGAGTTTGCAGGGCAATTGCCACATGCTTTTGCTCAATGTGGCAGCTCCTTTCCTCTCTCACTTTCAGATTTTTGGTTAGTACTCATTCCATATAGCGCTTTGTCAGTGTTATGTTGACGGATTCCTGGAGGTAGGTCGTGACACAGTTGCCATGGTTCCTTTTTGCAACATTTCTGCCCCTTCCTTATGCTACCCTCATGGTTCCAGCCCGCCATTAATATTTCAAATTAGAGTTTTACTGGTTGTGTCCAATGGCTGCTTAAAAAGAATCATCCCTAGTTAAATTTGAGTCCTTTTTTTTGGTTTTCAGGAGGGGATTCCCACCCAGGCAAATTCTTGATTTATGGCCAGATGCTTTATGAACTGACATACAGCAAAAATAATGGCCTGCCAGGCTGATAAGTGACTATAATCTTTTATACAAAATGAGCACTCTGCACTTAACACATACCTGACATAGAGCTCTTCAAATTTCTCACCCCAACAGTCCTGTAATCCAGGACACTCATTAGGACACATTAGTGACCACATCTCATCCTTCTCAACACGCCTCATGAACAAGTCAGGGATCCACAATGCAAAAAAAAGATCACGAGCACGCTAGGGAATCAAAGATAACCATTTAGCATAAAGTAACTAATACATCTTTCCTTCCTAATTCATACCCTTTTACAGAAACAAATTCCAGGGACTAAAACTCTTTCATTCCTAAGATTTCAAAATCAGTTCTCCTTACAGTCTACATACATTTCTTGTAAAGTAAATTATGAAAACTTTCTTGCTTAAGTTGAGCAGATTTCCAGGTCTTTCCAGTTCTGGAAAATGTCAAAATAAAATTCCAGGACTATTCAGGTTTTCCAGGACCCATACAAACCCTGTTGTTAACTTTAAAGACCCAAAATAATATTTTCAATTCTAATCCTAAGGAAATATAGTCCAGGTGTTCACTCCAAAACCTCTATATTTGTTTCCTTTTGAGATATATCATTCTATAAATTGCATTACTGTAATCTTGAATGAAATACAGTAAAGAAACACAGTAGAGAGAAACAACCTTTTCATCCACCTACTCAGTTAAGACTGTACCTCTATTAAATTTGCTTACAACAACCCTAAATCTGCTTGAAATTTCTCAACGTCATGCTGAGAACTCAGTTCACCTCTACAATAAATTTTGAGCTAAACAGAAAATTAATAATAAAAATCATCTAATTTTTTTTCACCTGCTCCTCTTTGCCAGTGTTCTTTCTCAGTTCCAAGAAATCATAAACATCGCTGTGCCAAGGCTCCAGATATATGGCAAAGGCACCAGGCCTCTTGTTGCCTCCTTGATCAACATACCTGGCTGTGGCATTGTACACACGCAACATTGGAACAAGACCATTTGAGATTCCATTGGTCTAGTTAAAAAAGAAATAAAAATTGGCAAATCCCTCCAACAAAAAATTTGATAATTTCACAGCATGGAAAAGGGCTTTTCATTGTATTTTATCAGTGTCAAAATCACATTTAGTTATCCCTATGGCCAGTCAGAACAATGGTACTATATTTATTCAATTATTAATTTTCCAACCTTGAATGAGCACCCACCCTGAGTAAGGTCTGCTAAGTTTTAAAACATATCCACACATTATTGGCATCACAATGAGAATCTAGAGCTGTAGAAGGCCTGCTCTTTAGAATTTGATGATAAAAACTTACTGGCCATGCTAGAATTGTTCCTAACAACCCACCCTGTATGAAAGCATGCATTGCAGGACAAACAGCATGAACAGCAGTTCACAATACTCCTGATAACAGCAATGATATGTTTACCATCTTCAGTGTGATTTCTTACCCCAGCAATGTAGCTTCCAGAAGCCCGGATGTTATGCACGTTGATTCCAATTCCACCTGCAGCCTTGGATATCTTAGCACAAAGAGTCAGTGTGTCATAAATACCATCAATGCTGTCATCTGTCATGGTCACAAGAAAACAACTGGACAGTTGAGGTTTACATGTACCAGCATTGAACAGGGTCGGTGATGCATGTGTAAACCACTTCTCTGATAACAGTTTGTATGTTTCAATTGCTGCTTCAATGTCAGTCTGGTGAATTCCAAGTGCAACTCTCATCAACATGTGCTGTGGTCGTTCGGCAACTTTGCCATTGATTTTAAGCAGGTAAGACCTCATCATTGTCTGGAAAGAGTCATTTTAAAGATTTTAAACCTGATTGAGTAGGAAAGAATGGTTTAACTTCAATTGGACAAGAAGAGTCCACACACATACCTTAACACCAAAGTAGTTGTATTGGTAGTCACGATCATAAATGATCTCCGAGTCAATTCTCTGAGAAAGAAAAAAAAGAGGCAATAATTGAGGATTTTAGTTTTAATCTCAGGTTTAAATATTGGTAAACAAAACAAGATTGCTTATATTTTCGGGAATGCCTCTAAGGCAATAAAAGTTTAGTACCCTGAAGTCACAATCACAGGTTTTCTTTCAACTGTTTTACACCTTTTCCTGATGAAATAACACTCCCTTAAAAGCAACACGCGTGACTGCACGCACATGCAGTGTCAATCAAAACTCAACTCAGGGCATGAAATTAACTTTTTTTTCTGATAGCCACTTGGCTCCTAAATTTTTCAAAGTGGTAGCCAATTCAAAAAAAGTTGGTTGCCATTTTTAAAGACAAATAAAACCTCTTTAAAATGCTGTCAGCATTCTAGATAGACCCTCCAAAATTAAGTTAGGAAAAAGATCTTTAACATGCCACAAATTGGACACTAGGATGTCCAATTTAATTCACTTTATCTCTAAGTAAGGTTATGATGAAGCACTCTAGTTGCCAATTTGGCAACTAATTTTCAGGATTTGGTCGCCGAAGTGAAAAATTTAGTCACATTGGCGCCTGTATTGGACGCAATTTCACGCCCTGCAACTACGTTTGGGCCCAGTCTCTGATAATATTATTTTCACTCTGATTAGTGAACGAACTGGCAAATTATCATATTTATTAAGTAACATTGCCTTTATAATATATTGATCTAACCAAGGAGAGCTCTGATATGACTTCAAATTCTCACAAACAGGGTCGTAAAAAAGGTACTCGCATCTGTTGTAAAACTCTCTAAAATTCAAATCCACCCAACTGTTCTAATAATAGTCACAGATAACCCCAATACAAATATTCCATATCATATTGTTATAACTCAAACCAGCTGCGTTCTAGGAAATATTAAATTAACATCTCAGATATAAACTATGTAACCACGATTACTTGGCTTTCAAGACGTAAATTAGCCAAAATAAAGAGTTCCATAAGCTGACATTCCCAGTGCTACCCCCTTTGTCAGAACAAAGGTATCTATTTGCTTTAATGAAGGACTAGGTATCAGTTCTAATAATTAGGGTAATAGTGTTCTAACATAGATAACAAGCTTGTGCTTGGTTTAAAAACTTACATCGGCATTCTCCATTATGAGGTCATAAGTTTCCTTGGAGATCAGCGGAGAATGTTTACCATTCCTTGGGTTGACATAGTTATAGAGATCTGTCATTACCTCTATGGGAAAAAATTATTAAATACAAGAAAATAAGAGAAGGATGCACAACCATGCAAAATGAATCCATTTGGAATGTGACCTTTAAGTATAATTCAGGGATGATACTGTGACAAAAAGTTAGGGGCTACTCACTCGTAAGGGTACAAGGTTGAATGCAAAAAAATTTCTAAAATTTCTTTCACTTGTTTTGGGGACTAAAATTGATTATAGATGGAAATCTGTGGTCAAAGTGATTTCTTGGTTTCCATACTACAGTACTTGCCAGATCTTGTAGGAATAAAGGTGAGTTTAAGAGGTAGAGCAGAGTAGAGAGGGAAGATACAAGACACCTACCACTGAAAATCTTCTTCGTTTCTTTGTGAAGATTAGAAACCTCAATCCTGGCTGCAAGGACAGCATAGTCAGGATGTATGGTTGTCATGGAGGCAGCAATCTCAGCAGCAAGTATATCCAGCTGAGTTGTGGCTACACCAGGGTAGATGCCATCAATTACCTTCTTGACAATCTCAAACTGAATCATGCAAAAGAAAATCAAGTTGTAACTGTTAATTTCTTCTCATAATATCCATACATTATCTAACAGATACTAGACTTGTCAGTTTAAATGTTATCTTGATCTCTCACCAAATTCTTTCAACAACTAATTGACAAGGAAATGTGTAGCAACTTGAGGGAAGAAATTTTTATCAGATCTTGGGAGTTAAAGGATTGAGGGTAAACTGAATGGTTACTGCAATATCTGAGAGACAACCTGCAACTTCGTACCCAGATTTTGTACTGTTGCTTATGGCAAACATAGTCCGAGTTCTTCAGGCCCTGTCATTTGGACCAAAATGGACAAATCTATCCAATTATCAGAACCATTGGACACAAGCACATCAAAATGGTTTATTTCACGAGCCTAATGGACTACTGACCCTTGATTTTAATGCACGACTCATTGATAATTTTATATATTTTTCAATACTTACACATGTACATATATCTCATATTTTCAGTACTTATTAGATATTTAATTGCGGTCAAGTATCCCCAATTAGCGCACACAAGTTCTTATCTTATTCTCGTTAGTATTAATAGTGTGACGTGCCTCATGAATACAGGATACGTTTACATACATGCTTAATAACAACCCAAGTTCATATATTTGTTTCGTTACTGCACTGACTGCACAATAGCTTTCCATAGCAGTGTACGTGTAGAGTTAAAAGTACACTCTACAATCTATTATCAGTGCGTTTCTTGACTTTCTTTGAAACGCATGTGGTTTGGATTTCGCGCTATCCTCAATGACGCATCAATTATCCTTTCAAAAATCTTAAAACTAGTAGCCCATCTTAGCAAACTGTGCCTAGAAATGTTAAGTAGTACTTAATGCACAACCAGTTTAGGCTAAAATTGTTTCCAATAGCAAATTATGAATATCGTGAGTTTTTCCGAGAATATAAATTTCGTACCAACGCCATTCGCGATACAAATTGGTAAATCCATGTTAAAAATGGAGAAAATAGGAATAAATCTGTAAACTACGATCACTGTACGGATTTCTGACGAGCTTATACAGCTTGGCTTTTGTTGTGGAAGAGTGTACGGTACAGAGGCAGTTGTAAATTGCGCGCCAAGATCTTTGAAATTGACCTGAAGACGACAAGGAAAATGGTATACCAAGGGGTTCCACGAATTTAACTAGTCCTTAATATGAAATTTCATCGAAGAAACATACGCATTTGCCATCAATCTGACGATAAATGGTGGATTTCGTTTTGCCTTTTGGCGCCAAAAGATAAGTCATTGTTCAATTCGGTTAGTTGACGTTCACTGATTTGCACGCAAAGGTAATCTTACCGTGTCGACAAAATCAGAGAGCTCATAACCAAGCTTTTTAATCCTGGCAGTAACTTTGTTTAGATTGATTTCCTCCTCTTTTCCATCTGAAAGAGAAAGACCAATTAAAGTAAAATGTACATGAACAAGATGGCGGCCAATACCGGCGCAGTTCGTACAAGAAAAAACAAAAATCCTACTTCGTTTGAGGACGTAAGAGGAAGGCTTCTTGATTTTCTTCTCTTGCTTTGAGTTGTCGGCCATAGTGCAAAGAAAATTCTCCTGAAAAAGGCAACCAAAAAGCGAAATATCTACTGCACAATTCCAAACGAACTTGATCTGGAGGCGAAGTGAGGTAAGTGATTCAATTTTGGCGCCGAAAGAGGATTCAAGTTCCCCAGTTTTCCCGCGTATAATTAACATTAGCCAATCAGAGCCGCATGGAACGATCAATCGCCAAATACGGACAATCATGCAATCTACTTTCATTCCATTCTCTTTTGTTTTTCTTTTTGTTTAATCTTTTCTAGTATTTCGAATGTGAACTTTAAGACCTGAGTAATTTTGAAAATTAGCTCACTCCCTCTTGTAATTTTAATCATTACAGACTAAATCTTGTACGATTTGAGGTTTGTCCGATTAGTACAACGACAAGAAAAAAAATTAGATATGGATGTCGACAGGCCTAATAATATACATGCAAAAATTACTCAGTTCTGATTGGTTAAGATAAATGCGGTTTTCAGGTACTTTTATGCAGAAGAGGGTTGATTCAGTGCAAAGAAGTAACAAACCAGATATTTTGATTGGTCAATAATTAAAGAAATTCACAGATAGCCAATCAAATACGAGCCTCGGATGTCACTACATTTGGATACGCTAAAAATTTGCGGCGAAATAATGGCCGGCGTTTTAAGTAGGGTTTCTTTTGCCACCGAAACAACAATACAGCAGCTGAAAAACAGCTCTAACAACGAAAGCGATGTAAAAAGCGTTGCTTCTTGGTTGTCGGTTTGGAAAAAGTGGTGTTTAGAGAAGGGAATTGCTAAGAAAATCGAAAGTACAAGCCGACTCAGCTTAACACTTTGCTCAAGCGACTCTACGCCGAAATTAAAAACAAACATGATTAAACCTCGCAAACAACGATTCCATTTCAACGAAAGTGATTCGCATACAGACTGATCAATTCCTAGAACTGTTTAGCCGGACTTTGAACCTTTTTTGCGCCTTAAAGATGTGAAAATATTATTGTCTATCGTTGTTTTGATCGTGTTGGGTTGTTTTGACCGAATACACAATGTCACTTACAGGGATTGAATAAATTATTTTCGCATTTGATGCGCGCTTTGCTTCTGCACACTTATTATAAGCTATCTCGTATTTTGTCATGTATATTGCTAATACGTAATCACATGATTTTTCTCGTGATTTTTGGAATAAATAAGCACTTGTGAATTTTTTCAAATACTACAAATTACACTCGCCCTACGGGCTCGTGCAATTTTGTTAGTCTTCGAAAAAATTTACTCGTGCTTATTAATTCCAAATTGCACTCGAAATCATGTGATTACCTATACTAATTTTTTTGATGTTTTTTTTTTCAGGCGCGCGAAGCGAGAACCATTCTCTTCGCGTTCTTCCTCCCGCGGTCGCACGCGCGCTCATCTGAAAAAGATGAAAAAATTTGATAACAATAAAATAGAGCGCAAATGATAAATTAAAATTATTGAAAACGGTGACCCGTGTTCTGCAGGCCAGAGGTAAAGTATGTAAATGAGAAGCCTATCAAATCAAGACATCACTGTTAACTGGTTTTTTTAATGTTCCGCCATCTGTAAACTTTTATGTTCCACCATCTGCAAACAGTGTCTTTACGCAAGTGCACGATTTTAGGAAGTAACAAAAAGGTTGGGGAAAAAACCGTTTTCGATTTCTGTAAAATCGGATAACAACACCGATAGTTGAAAAACTGGCCTTAAAATTCACGTGTAATTGACTCGTGACCGAATAGATTTCAGCCGCATTATCCCTGACTTTAGTCCGATGAAAGTCTTCCTAAATAATTGATCAAGTGAAACATATTTTGATCATAAAATTACACCAGTGCTATACGGTCGACACCAAAAAGAGTAAATTATTTTTGGGCAACTTTTCCAAGAAATTTCGCCCAGCGCACCCAAAAAATCTCTTACTGAAGTCGACTGAATTATGGCCAAGAAAGAGGCCCTCATTTGGCATGAAAATAAATTTAAACCTTTTTTCATGGAAATTGTCTAATCATTGAAGCGAACAACATGTCATGATCCTCCTCGAGCTTTGCTTAGCAAAAATCTGTTCTCTTCTCGGATCTTAAAAGCTCTAACAATGTCCATAATCAATTAAGGAACTAGGCATATCTGCGCACCCAACAGAGGCTGATGTTTTTATAAAGTTCCCGAAATGCTTCTTTTCGTGGATATATGCAGAAATTGATCACAGGCCGCGTGCAGCCTAACTGTCGATAACAAAGTCGTACGTGTGGAGCTCCCCTGCAGAAAAATAATGCACGCAACTCGCCTACGATTTTTAAATGAGCTGGACTTCTAAATCGTTGTCTGTTTTTTGTTTATATTCTCATTCATTTTTGTCCGGGAATATTGGAAGCTGTGATAATCAATCATACGACAGAACCCCAGCTTTTTGATTTCCATACCGGTTCGAAAGGCAGGAGCTTTTGTCTTGAGATTTACCACGCGGATTTTGACTCCCTTGAGTTTTCTGTTCTGCGAAGAAAAAAAAATATAGTCGAGAGTTTTCGAGAATGATGTAGGAAAAAACAGAGGTTTTTTTTATCGTTTTCCTGTTATCATGTTTAGGATATTGTGATCGGTCAAAAGTGCATATCAGTTCGATTTATATCTAAGGAGTCATGCAAAGCTGTAAACAGATTCAGAGAAACTCCAACATAGACATCGGATTACTAATTGATGACCAGTTGGCGTTTTTCAATAACTAATGAAAAAAGATCATGCCTCTTAGCCTAGGCTTAAAAGGAAAAAATGTAATTGAAGAATAGAGGGGATAGGAAACAAACACGTAGATAGAGCCCAAGGTACTCTATCTAATTGCACTTTCTGAAAATTTTCGCCAATTAACTTACCAAAGCCATTTAATGTACAGAATATTTTGTTATCTTGCTTAAAGGCCAAAGGGAAGAAAGATGTTTGCATAGAAAACACCATTATTCAAAAAACGAATATGGTAATATGTTTTGCTGCACAACAACACTAATATTTACACGCTGAAACTTGGACGATATGAGCGACTCAGCGTTTCTTTCTTTGAAAGAGGCCGAATTTCCAACCATAAAAAAAAAAAAATATTTCCATTGTGGCTGAAATTGGTACAAAGTTCCTCCCACTCGCTTAAAGACAAATTTGTCAGTTCTTTTTGGAGCCGATGACGTAGTAATGAGAAATGTCAGTAGCCTAAACGATATCAAGTGTTTTCCATTTTCTGTTTTTTCCTTAAAATTTGTGGTGTAATTCTCGCCCACGTAAATTTATGCAAATTTTTCAGTAAGCTGTGAAGTCGCAATTTCCTTCGGAGAGAATCACTAATTTGCTTTTAGCGAGGACTGCGCTTTGTAATGGGCCATTTGTGTTAAAAAGCAAACAATAGGCAAGCAGTAAGAAATGTGGAACTTCAGTAAAATGAAAAGGAAGATCGCGAAACTCTTATGAAGATCGCTGCGGTAATTTGCCAAAAATGAGGAAACTCAATATTAAATTTCAGACTAACATTTTAAAATAATTTCTCATTTCGGCATAATTTTCACGTCAATCACAGATCTAGGCTAATATTTTCACTTGTTTTCCTTAGTGGCATTAAAAATTTGAGATTTTAGAGTTTCAGTCAGCTGGAAGGTCTGAACGAAAACTTGATCGATCAGAACATAGTCAAGTACTTTGCAGACAATAACCAAGTGTAACTCTATGGAGTATAAAAGTGATGCGTATTTGAATTCAATTGGAAGACAGCTCGTTCGTTTGTTACTCGGACAATTGAGTCCTATGCGAATTTGCGAAACTCGATCGCACTTAGTACCGACAACACCTGCTGTTTGAATTTTGTTTACCGAGCGAAGACTGTAAGACTAACATTTACGACATAATTTAGCATTTCTCCCCTGAGTACGAAAGGTTTAATTAAAATGTGGCTCATTTAGGAGGTGTCAGAGTTTACTGTTGAAATTAAACAATTAATGATATTTTCTCGTTCAGATGCACCTTGCGAAGTCAGAGTTTACGTTAAAAAACCTTTTAGGGTTACGGTTAATTGTTCAAATAAAATCTATCGAGCCAGATCTGTCACGATTGAGCGCTAACTATTCTTTTCGTCGTTTTTGACGTAAAAGTGATCTTAATGGTTCAAGTGAACTCCATTTATTTAAGCGCTTTGAGTCAGTGGCTTGCAGCCCATTGGTAGATTTAACTCGCATCCGGCTGCTATCGACTGAAGAAAAACATTGAGACCAAAAATAGGCTCCCCTGCTAATTTATGCACTAAAAGTCTCAGTTATTGTAGTCGACGTCATTTTCAATGCCCCTTCCGTCAGTTGCTCTGTTTCCAGTCTCAAAACATCAATCATTAGCTGAAGCGCGCCATGGATGGGCAATTTCCTGCGATGTTTGCTGTTTAGATATCATCCCAAGTCGATACTCGACAGAAACACAGTGTAGCGGTAACAAGGTGTCGCTTTTGCACGAGTTTACAACTGTTTACCAACTTCAACGCTATTCTCGCGGTTCAAATTACCGTTGCTTGGAGGTGTCTTTATGGCTTTCGCGTTTGGAGATTCTTACTTGAAGCTTCCACCAATAAGCCAAGAAGGTTCCGTTGAAATCGACGGCGAAGACTCCAAGAGAAATTTGGGGATCGTCCGCGATAAACATGGCCTTGTGCGACTTCCTCCTATCGTGCGATTGGATTCACTTCGCTCCACATCAACCGCTCAAAGGTTTCGGAACGAAACGTCAACCGCAGCTTCAAGCGAAAAGACCGAAGTTGCGATGTCAAGATCACCAATGAAAATAACAGACAAAATGGGGGGCTTGAGACTCCAAGGACGTTCGAAAAAACTAAAAAAATACGACAACAAGAGCGAGGATGAAATGAAATTAATTATGGAAGCAGCTGTCAAGGAAACCAATGAAGACGAAACAAGTTTTTTCGACAGCGAAAATGTTTCACACGAAAAAGAGAGGGCAGGTTGCCAACGGTTAGGTTCTAGCTCCGCTTTGTTATCATTGACTGGTAATGGAGAACTTCTCCCTGCACACAAAGATTCAATCTTGTCCCGCCGGGGAAGCAGCACTTTTCAAACTACGAAGAAATTGACGAGATCGCGCAGGCTGGCAAAATCTTCGCCCGAGTTATCTAATAGAAAGAAAAATATGCGGCTGCTCGCCGACGGAAATATCAGCGAGCATTCGTTATCTTCTCTCGCAGCAAGGTCTATGCCGGTTGTCCGATCCGACCCCTCAAGCCGTCCACAGCTCGCGGTTCAGGACATCGACGGATCAAAGCTCTCTCAAGTACAGAATTACGCTAAGATTGAGGAAAAAGCAAAAGAGTACGGCGGGAAACGCAGAAATCACAGTAATCAACGGTGGAAGATTGATGTTGCAAATTTACCACAGAGCACCCTGAGTTCACCGGTTTGCAGTGAATCTGCTAACTCAGAGATCAAGCAAAAGGTCGAAAGTCATTAAACGATATAACGGACGCGGAGCAGTTTGTGACAGAAGAAGACCCTCATTGAAAAAGCAAAATCTAGTTTATGATGCCGATGTCGATGTATTGAAAATTGAAGGAAAGAGCTGCTCTCAGAGTGAGAGAAAATTGCAAAGAGGAGATGCTCTGACAGAATGCAACGTCGAAATGTTAGACCTACCAAGAAATGAGGAAAAGAGGCATTCATTGTACGACTTGCAACAAATATTAACCTTGCTACAGAAAGAGGATTTAAAGCGACAGGCTTCCAACACAGCTTCATCATCTCGAAATGCAAGCGCCACCTCTAATGCAAGCGGAAGGGAACCCAGTGAGTCCGTTTATGACTTAAGGGAGTTCTTGTTAATGGCGGCGGCCGAAGCTTCGAGCGCAGGGCAACTTAAAAAGACACAAACGAACAAATTAAGCGCCAATAACTCACAGACGAGTTCGTCGTCGCATCTCGCACCTCCTGGGGAGAGAGAAAGACGGTAGAAAAGGCTCAGTTTACGACTTAATGGAGTTTCTCACTCTTGGAAATAGCAGTGAAACGGGTTCTGGATCCACAAGTGAAAACTCGAGCCGTTCGACTTCACCGCGAATTTTATCATCACCGCATGCCAGCTCTAGCTCAAATAACTTGCTATCCGTCTCAGTTGCCAACAATGGTGAGGAAAGCAGGAGAGCGTCTACCTACGACCTCATGGAGTTTCTATCTCTGCCGCGTTCTGGGGGTAATTCGCGCCCTGATTCAGGTCCTAGCAGACCAGCTCTTCACGAGGAAGGCTCTAGCGCAGCAGAAAGCAAAATGAGCGATTCAGTTACCGAAAAGTTTAAAGAGAAACGAAGTCTATCTATGTACGATCTGGAAGAATTCCTGTCTATGACATCTGATATACCACCGCTTGTGCGAGTCACACCTTGGGAAGAAGAGCAAAAAACAAATAGTAGCAAAACTGTTTCGGATTCTGAAGAAGGTGCCAAAAGAGATTTGCAACAGCCGAGAGGGTCAGTGTATGACCTAAGTGAAATCCTGAGCGTGTTACAACAGGAAAATGAGAAAAGGCATGAGTCTGCGTCTAATTTACGCCAGATGCTGTTTCATTTTCAACGTGAAGCCGAAAAAAACCGGTCAATCTTCACTTACGCAATCAACTAATTTACCCGCCAAATATACTGTCGGTTCCTCTCCCGTAACTCCAACTATAGAGAACAGTGGCTACTCGACCGGTAGTGATCAAGCAGCATCAACAGACGCACCCAAAAATATGGATGTAACTGAGAACAGTCGGCACATGTCTGTGTATGATCTTAGAGAGTTCCTTTCAATTTATGCCGCTCAACAAAACCCGTCGGCAACTCATCAGCAACAGCTTTCATCGGCAGTTTCGTTGAGGCGAAAATTTTCCGGAGTTTCACAAAGCGGTGTGAGTATACTCGTCACTGACGAATCCAACAGAAGCATCGACAGCGAATTTTACGAAGATGTTTTTCTTCCAGTACCAAGTACAGAACCTAGCGGTGCGTCTGATCCATCGCGTAAAAGAAGCTCTATTTACGATCTCCGCGAGTTCTTGAGCATTTTAAATGCAGACGAATCTCCCTTGAGAAGACGATTATCTAGCGTGTCATCTGCATCGTCTAAATCCAGCGAAAGTGAATGGGAATCAAATTCTGCCAAAACTACTGGCCCGTTAAAACCAGCCGGTCCGAGTCATGGCAGGGAAAATTCCGCGAGACCACAACTGTTCCCACGCCAGGATTCCGGCGGGAGCCTTTCTCTATATGACCTTGGCGAGTTTCTCTCGCTTTTGAACACAGAAGAATCTCCATTGCGAAGAAGGCTTTCGAGCGTCAACGATAAGATCTCTGCGCAAGGTGAAGAGGGAGCGCGCACGCCGGTTCTTTCCAGAAGCGATTCCGAAAAGGGTCTTTACAGCTTAGAAGAAATATTAACTGTTATGAATGAGCTTGAGCAAAGGAATAGTAGCGAGAACATGAGTGGAGACATTGAAGGCAATGTTGGAGAAGAAATCAGTATTCAAGTTCCGACTTTACTGCCAAAAGCTGATACAACAAACACGCAATCCCTCCCAACGAGAAAGCTTTTGCAGCCTCAAAGGTCACTAAAAAGTGTCCCCGAGACTTCTGAAGTGAAAAACACTCATTCAAATTCATTATAGAATTTCTCTGCAAGTTTGAAACACTTAAACTGATGAAGGCGAAAGTAAATTCGCTCTTTACTTCTCCTCCTCTGTTTTTGCATATGTGAAGCTAAATTTCTCAGGCCAGTGAGATCAGTAGCGACTCCGCCATTTCACGACGGGAGGTTTTTGTACTTAACAAAATTTATTTCTACATAAAGTTGACTTTTTCTGTGTGTTCCTTTGCGTGGTACCGAGTATGTTTTAATATCTGTAACTAATAGAAAGATTTGTTGGTTTTAAACAGTCAGTGCGCCCATTGAATTATGTTCTGAGCGGTAATTTCAGCTGTCAACGAGCTTTTAAGGGTGGCAAATTTACATATATGAACACTTTTAAGCAAATTTGTTCTGTAGATTAATGGCTATTTGTTCACGGAACTGAAAGAGCACTTAAGAACACTGAGAAAGACCAATAATAGTGAGATAACAGTAAAAGTGCGTGAATCATTTCTTAAAGCTCTTAAAATCGCGTTTAAAACGCGTTTTACCGCTTCCGTTTTTCGCTAAGCATTAGACGGGCAGCTATTTAATTCCTGTAACGTCCTTTTCTTAACAAAAAAAATTCAATTGAAACCTCAGAGATTTTAGTCTCGTTAGTAACAATTTATCTCAAAAACTAGTGCCTTTCTTCGAAGCAATTAACGCCAAGCGGGACTCAAACGTGCAAGAATCAAATTAAATATCAGTGCCGCGCTGAATATGTTTGCAACCACCTTGGAAGGATATTTTTGGCGATAGTTGGATTTAAGTTTCGAGCAGAAAGGTGCAATCGTTTCCTTTCAAATGCTATTTTTGGACTCAAACTTCACCTGCTTTCGAACGATTAAATTTGTAATTCCTTTGCTAAAAATATAAACAAAGCAAGGCATTTTTAGTATAGACCTTTTAACTCAAACGTGTTAGTTTTATTTCAGCTGGAGAAATATTTTACCTGGAAATTTACCTTTCAGAGGGCTAGGGGTATCTCCAGGCCGAAGGCTTAAGTTCAAAGTTAGATCACCAGTGAGCATCCATTTTGAGAAAGCGCGTTTAATGTATCTTTGGAGGCTTTCTGTTTTGAAATTCACAGGTTCTTTACCTGATATCGCGTTTAATCGTTGTTTTTGCAAGAGTCTCCTTTTGCGAATTAAATGATTTTCTTTTGTTTGGCTGGGGCAAACGTTTGCGGTTCTGAATGATCGTGATTTAAATTTCTGATGGGTGGTATATTTTCATTTGTAGTGGGAACATGAAGCGGTGGAACGAATGTTAAGAAATGCATTTATAAGTACGTACACAAACCAAAAAAACCCTCTTGTTGTGATTAACACCTTTTTTTACGGTATTTTTTTCCACTAAATCTGGAAAATTGCTCGATGAAACTTCTTTGGCCACTAACAGAATGATATTAGGTTATTCGCTGAAGCCAATAAAATTTGAATGTAACGTGTTACAACATCATAAAAATAAAATAAAAAATTTAATTTGAACGTTCGGCCTAATTTTTGTTTGTAATAAGTTCGGTTTCAAACCTTTTTTTCAGATTTGCTACCTCTAAATTTTCTCGAATTCGGGACTAATGGTAAATTACATGTTTTTTCGTTCTAATTTGCGCAAGAAATGATTTTTAGGGCTTTCGCGCGAATTCCCGTTCTTTTCAGTTTTTCAACGAACATGGCTTGTCATTGGACACATAATGCATTGATTCTTGCCAGCTTTTGGTTCAGATAGTTCGACGCTCAGTGCATAAATATAAGCTAAGTTGCTATAGCGATTGCTTTTTTTTATTGCTTTTTATGTCAAAATACACGTCATAAACTCTTTTAAGCCAAATATAAGCTCTTAATCTTCGCTCTTAAGCATTTCGGAAAGAATCCTCTTCATTACTCTCAAGACGGCGATAACTTGAACGCAAATATACGTCGTGCAGGCGGAGACACTTTTGACAACAAACAACTGATATTTAGGAAGAATTACTAAGCCCACCGAAATAACTGAGAAATATTTCTGAAATT